GCTCCAACCTGAGGGTATTTCTGCGAATGCAGAAGGAAAGAATGATTAGAGGTAAAGAACAGGGGTGTTCCCTGCGTTTGTACTCCAATGACATCAGTAAGATGAGATCGAAAAGAAAAATAGAAAATCGAAAGGAAAGATAGGAGTTCAGATAAACCTAAGTTTTATGATGTCTAAGTCTTCATATTTATAGGTAAGTTGAAGAAGACCATAAAAAGAAATTAGGAAAATCGAGCTAAAGTGAGCACAACATGTTAGGTCAACATAACATATAAGTCAACATAAATAACAAAAATCTTTATTATCTACTAAAAGCTAAGAAAAAAAAAATCGCATACATTTTTTAACTATCAAATGTCGCTAACAAATTATAGCTTTTAATCACTCCATCAGCTTCTCCCAACCCTCCAAACAGACAGTTCCCCATCTTCTTGTCATACAACAATCTAAAAAACCAAAGAACTATAACTTCTCCTTGTAATTGTAAAATGGAAGAGTATTAAAGGAAGGGAAAGTTCTGGAGGGAGACAACATATCCTCGACGGGATTCTTTCTTTAGAGTTTCCTCAATCCAACTGCTGATAATACAAATCCGAAAAAGCAAAAAGAAAAGAGAAAAGAAATGCGACCACTTGACAGTCAACATAGCGTCGGGATGGTGTTAAGGTCAATTTCGATCCGATTTATATAAATAATTATTAATTTATTTTAAAATTTTTTATTTTTATATTATTAATTATTATATAATAATAATTAAAAGGATAATGATTATACAATCGATTTTATATAAAATTTTACTCAAAATTTTACATTTTAGTTAAATTTAATACAGAATAGATCTAATTACACGTCACGATTTGATCGAATAAATAATATTAAAAATACTTTTATAATTTATATAAATATAATATAAAATATTATAAATATATATTATATTATAATATATAAAATTACATAATAATTTTATTAATATAATATTTAATTAAATAATTAATAAAATATATATTTTATATATGTAATGAATTGGATCAGGACGATTTTTTTTAAAATCCAATCCCCATTTTAAAATAAAAATTTAATCCTATATGGTTCAATACGCGATTTTCAAAAAAAAACATTGATTTTATAAAATCATATCAGATCGAAACGGACGAGTTAGGATATATTTGCCGATCCTCGTAGCCAGTAGGCGCAGTTATTACAAATACAGAAATATTCATACACGGAAAGAAAGGTTTTTTAATTATTAGTATTTGGTATCGTAATATGGGTAATAAACCCGCAGGCCTTATCAGTCATCGTATAACTAGCAGCTCCTAGGAAAAAAAAATGGAGCGGCTAAGCCAATTCTTCGATCCTTTGGCACCCATCATCTAGCAGGAGAATCCTAAAGATCAATTTGGATAGAGATTTGGCATATAAATGGGAAATGGCGGTATGATAAAAAAGGGCAATGGCTCAGTTAAACCATTTACAGAGATGCAAAAAGTCATGGTTGTGAACAAGACCAGTCCATTCAAACTTCTTTATCATTTTTTTTTTTTTACAAAAATTTCGTCCCTTAACTTGACAGCTCTGGAACTACAGTAAAATGTGAAAGAGACAGAATCACATCCAATCTGCTGGGTTCATTAAAACATTATCAACTTTAAACAGCCCAAAGAAATAGCAGGATTGCATAAAAAATAATTCTGGGTGTTTTCCCACTGAACGAATATTAAAGTTTTGTCAATGTGAAGGTTTATGAATGAAATGGAAGGCTTCATTTGGTAAATGTTTTTATTTTTTATAAATAGGAACTATTCATGTATTCGCTGAAAAAAGAAACTGAAATTATCAAGGGCTAGTCACTTCCCTCAGTGATTGTTTCAAGCAGTGGTGGTGTGATGTCCTAGAAAGGAGTATGAATATGATATTAATTGTGTATTAGAATTGATTTTAAGATATAAATATTTACATTATATTTAACCTGTGAGATGTTTTTTAAATAAAATCATGTAATTCAATAGGTTTAAAGTAAATAATACTTAAATAATACTTTACAAATCAATGTAAACTTTAATATTTAATATCAAAATCAATTTTATAAACTTAACGATATATCTTCGAAAATAATAAATTTTTGTTAAAATGAGAAGAGATGTTATGATTTTAGAAGTATGAATTAAAATTATTTTAAAATATAAGTTATCACATAATATTCAACTTGTAATATGCATTTTATAACTCAACAAAATTAAAGCGAACAATTAATTCTATACCGTCTTTTGGTGTGAACCGCGACAGGCAACCAGTTTCTAATAAAATCAAATCTATACCGTCCTTTTATACGGACTCGAGCAAGTATTGCTTCTACTGAAATCCTCTAGGAAAGCAATCCTCGAAGCTCTTGCTTTGTTACAAGGAGTCTGATTTTCTTAATGCTACCATTCGTGGCGTCCTCTGGATAAGCAGAACTGACGGTAGGTCCTTTACGTCTTTTGCAGTACTGTGGACTAGTACAACTTCGGCTATCTGTTTCCAGAGGACTTAGAAAACTTTCCAGGCTCGATCATAGCTTTCTTAGAGCAAACTTCTCCCATAGGATCATGGGAAGGCAAGCAATTGCCCATGATTGGTTGAGAAATTCAAATGAAAAGGCAGTAAAAATAAAAAGATGAAAGCCGGTATATTGTTTGTTAGTTACAGTGTTGTGAGACGTTTTAAGAGGACAAGTGACGTGATTGGTTTTTTTTTTTTTAACATAAGAGGTCAGATTAAAAACAGATTGTAAGTGTTGTTATTCCATTTCACATAACAAAAATCAATTGAGTTAATTTAAAAAGAGTTGAGCTTCATAATGTATTTGACGTGCTCATGCTTTCAGGCTCTCATGCGTCACAGAGCTTGATTAGAACAACTCCAAATGAAAATTACTTTTCCGAATAAGGCAGGGTGTTGAAGAAAGGGGTGTTTGCCTCGAATTCTTCTTCCATTATTTTCATTTTTATTTTCTCACATAAGTAATTGACCGCCGCCTTTCTTGATCAAATGCATGTGGCAGGCTGAAAGTAAACTTTATTGGGTGCATTTTTACTTGGAATAAGCTAGACTAGAAATTATGAAATATATATACAAATTAAAATAAAAGGATAAAGTAGTAAAATGCCAGAGTGCTTGTGAGCCAAGGCTACGTTGTTTATTAAAGTAAAGGGGTTAAGCAATTGGATAAATACATAGACGAAATCAGTAAAATCATAAAAACTGGGGGGGGGGGGGGGGAAGGGGGTCATGTCCCTGTCGGCTCGTTAGGTTCGTTCCTGAGTAAATGTTTGAATTAATTAAATATAGATAATCGAAAGTCAACTTTTCAAAAATATGGAGCATATTTTTGTTGCAGGGATTTGAATTTCATTTCCAAATTAGTGCTACTAGTTTTTTTTTATTATAATTAATTAGAATATATGTATAGCAATAAAGATTGATTAGAAGGATCAATTTGTATTATAGAAAAAATTCAACTGTGATCGTGTGGATGACGCTAGTTTTTGCAAAGGAACCCTGCCAGGCTATAGTTTATAGCTAGTAGTTGTTCTTGGTACAAATTTTTCCTAGCTAGTCTAGTTGTGGGCTTTTTCTTCCGCACAAATTGGCGTATGTTTAGGTACATCCAGTAGCTTTGGGGTTGGGTCTGGCAAAATCAGGTTAGTTTTTCCTCAGAACAAACCAAAAAAAAACAAAAACAAAAACAAAATTTTTAGTTTCCTCGTATTTGATGGAATGATTTGTAACACCATAGCATTTGGAGCAGAGTTGTTGATATTTAGTACAAGCATTCGATTTCCACAGACGTTTTAACCACTTCAATCACCCAATCACATGAAAAAAAAAAAAAGTTGATTTGAAGTTTGAAAGTCGAAAAAGGCTTGGAACTGTTACATCTTACGCCATGCAGGTGAGGTCACCCGTGATAAGATACCATTAACTTCTTTGCCATCTTTTGTGGTTCATGAATCATGGAAATTGGAAAAAACGTCATGGAAAAGGGTTAACTTCAATGTCAAAAAGTTAAAACAGCGGGTAAACGGAATAGAAAAAGTGTAATAAAGTAGGGAACTCGCTTTTGTTTTTCGTGAATCATGGTTTTGACTAACGGCTCCGTGACCGCTAAGTCGCCCACTACACGAGAAAAACAAGTACTCGATTGTTTCCTTTGCATCCTTTGGAAATTGGAAAATTTGTTCATTGGTTGAAAAGAGATTAATTTGTCCTGTTATAAAAATTGCCTCACTTTGATTTAAAATGTTTAATCTTATCGTCTCACGAAGAAAATGCTTCTGTTTGCGCATTCTTCTTGGCTTCTGTTATCCGCATTTAGTTCGGTCAAGCAATACAATCGTGAAGTCAAGTCTAAGCCCGAAGAATCAACTTATGCCTATTGCCAACTTGTAGGATTTGGCACCCAGCCATTGCTGTCCTATCAATCCTTTTCCTAATTTCCCGATTTTTTCTAGTGTCAAATTGTGAGTAAACTCTATCTTCGGACAACAATATCTAAGTACTCTGTAGTCTATCCCGTTGTTGTCCTGTTTGAAAATTGATATTACACTTTAAGGAACCTTTTTCTCTTAGTTTTTTTTTTTTTTTTGAAAAGAACAATGCTAGAAGGGGTTGGAACCTGTAAAATTTTAACTAGGGACAAAAAGATGACTGGTAAGTGACCCTAATAAAAACAATAAAGAAAATACTCTTTTAATCTTACATGTTTGTATGTTTTCTCATTTTTAAACTTAAATATTTAAAAGTACTAATTTTAAACCTAAACTTATGGCTGCACTCATGGGTTTATGCTTCTGTCCGCTTGAAATCCTGCATGAGAATGAGAATCACATTTTCTTTTATTTCTTTCTTGTCTTATTACCCAAAGATTTTAAGATCAAAAGCACAAGTTAAATTGTACACACTACTTTTTTCTAAACTATATTAAAGCCTTTAGAATAAAATAAACAACAGTTACTCATTAGAAATTTCGCCACAACTCACAACTATATTTTTTAAATCATTTTGCCGTGTGAGGTTAATAGTCTGAGCTTCTATATAAGGCACTTGAATGAAGCTTCAAACACCCGCCTTGTGCAAGTCTAATTCAATAGCCCTATCCTTAATTAAGTTGCAAAATCATCGCAAACCTGGCCTTTCAAGCGTGTTTGATACAACCTTGACACAACATCAGCAGTTTCAGTAAGAGGAAAATGGATGTTGGTTACCATAATAAATCTTTTGAAAGTTCGTTTGAGTCAGTTGACACAGCGGGGAAAGTCATCACTTGCAAAGGTAACAAGCCGAATTTCTGTATTCTCTCTCATGACTAATCCTTGATTGTGCATGTCCTTCTAAGATTGATTGTCATCTTCCATCGTTGCAGCTGCTGTAGCATGGGGTCCTGGACAGCCTCTTGTCATTGAAGATGTTCAAGTTGCTCCCCCTCACAAGATGGAGGTCAGGGTCAAGATTCTATTCACTTCAATCTGTCACACGGATCTCAGTGCTTGGAAAGGCGAGGTAAGCCAATGATAAATTGTTTTTAGCTCTTGATCTTCTCTAATTAGTTAATTAATTTCTTTTACAACTCAGTCTGACCATTGTGGTTTTATTTTAAAGAATGAAGCTCAAAGAGCATATCCTCGGATTCTCGGCCATGAAGCAGCAGGGTATGTGACAAGAAATTAATCATTTTTTGTAGTTGAAAGCACTAATTAGAAAATACTTAGAAAGCAGATTAATGAAATGAATCATAATGCTCTGTTCCAGGATTGTTGAGAGCGTTGGTGAAGGTGTTGAGGACATGAAAAAAGGTGACCATGTCATTCCAATCTTCCAAGGACAGTGTGGCAACTGCATCTGCTGCAGAAATGAGAAAACAAATCTCTGCCAAAGGTTTGGAGTGAATCCATTGAAGAGTGTGATGGTAAATGATGGCAAGCCAAGGTTTTCAACCAAGGATGGGAATCCCATATTTCATTTTCTCAACACCTCCACTTTCAGTGAGTACACCGTTCTTGATTCAGCCTGTGCTGTCAAGATTGACTCTGAGGCACCTCTTGAGAAAATGAGCCTCTTGAGTTGCGGTGTCTCCACAGGTAAATACCAAAAAATCTCGCCTTATCTTTTGTCTTTTAAACGATATTGAACTCGTGTTATTGTCTGACTATAAACTTGTCTGAACATGATTTTCTGACCTGATCAAGGAGTTGGAGCCGCTTGGAATGTAGCTAATGTGCAACCTGGATCAAGCGTAGCAATCTTTGGTTTGGGTGCCGTGGGACTCGCGGTAAGCCTCTTTCGCTGACTCAGAAAATTATTAAGCTTGTTCAAATTTTACCATTACAGTTTTTGGACCGTTCTGCTATATTTCAAACCATTCAAAGTTCCATGAAATGAAGATTACTTATGAAGCTTCATGTTTTACTAATATTAGTAATACTGTTTTTAGACGTTTCTGATATATATTTTCAAACTATGCAATGCACCATTGGCGGATAAGCAGGAAAAAATTAAATATAGGGAGAGGTTATATAGAAAAAAAAAATACATACATATGGGTATTTTTTTATGTATGTGTAGCATTACCTATATATATGCACAACTCTGATTTCCTTGGCACTTGAAGTAGAAGTTGACCTTTTTGCTTTTTCTAAGTCTAACATAATATCAGATTGCTGATTGTTTAACAAAATCATATACTATATAGTATCTGATATTAAGATTCTGATGAACTAATTTGCTGGTTGGAATTGACCAGGTAGCTGAAGGAGCGAGAGTAAGAGGAGCATCCAAAATAATAGGCGTTGACATAAACCCTAGCAAATTTTCCAAAGGTACTTTTTCCCTAGTAAGATTAATATTAGTATTGGCCGTACTGCATAAGTTACTTCCGATTCAGTTGCTGTGGAGACATACTGATCAAAGCAATTCAGAATAATGGATTAGCAATATCCTTTCCAAAAACCTGCTGACAGGAAAAATTTTCAAGTTATGTACTATGAGGCATGGTTTCTTGAATTTCAAGTTAATGTGTTGAAGTTTTTATTAACCGAATTCCAGAATCCAGATTCAACAACTGGTTCAGTTTCCTAATCCATTAATGGGCTAAGCTATGAAATTAGAAAAACAGCAGATCATAAAATGCAACTGGCCATGGCAGTTGCAGTATCTTCATAATTAAGCTAATTAGGAGTGGATTATATAGGAAGTTTTATGATCTGATCGGTCTCTTGGTATATATGCGAGCAGGTAAAGCTGTGGGAATTACAGAATTCATAAATCCAAAGGATCTAGAAGTGCCAGTGAATGAGGTTAGTACCAACACTTATAGCACTGAGGACTTTTTGTGCTCAAAAGGCGCAAGTATATAAAATGGTCTTAATGAAAATGGTGACTGCAGAGAATTGGAGCTATGACAGATGGAGGTGTAGACTACAGTTTTGAGTGTGCAGGAAACCTTGAAGTTCTTCGTCAGGCATTTTTGTCTACCCATATGGCAAGTCCTTTTCTATTACTCTCTGCCTCTGGTTTTTCAGTTTCTTTTTTTTCAATAAAAAAAGTCAATTTCTTCCCCTCTTTCTCATAACTTTAATCAAGTCTTGCATACAAGAGTACAAGAATGTATATGAATGGATTTAAAGAGTATCATTTTGGATATACAGGGATGGGGACTGACTGTACTATTGGGGATTCACCCAAGCCCAATGCTGCTACCTCTCCATCCAATGGAGTTATTTAACGGGCGTCAAATCGTAGGATCGGTCTTTGGAGGCTTCAAAGGCAAAACCCAGCTACCAGAGTTTGCCAAACAATGCATGTGCGGGGTAAGTTAATGATCAATCCCTTGTACTTTCTTTGTATATGGTTGAGTTTTTTTAAGTCCAATGCAACTGAATCTGTCTTGGAATTTGATTCCAGACCCTGAAATTAGACGAGTTCATCACGCATGAGCTTCCCTTCGATAAGATAAATGAAGCCTTTCAATTGCTAGTTGACGGGAAGTCACTTAGATGCCTTCTGCACCTCTGAGCTCCTTCACAAGATGCTGGCATCCTTTGAACATGGCAACCTATGGTTTGCAAATAACTGGCGCTGTGCTTGCGACAATTAGAAACACAAATAAAGACTTTTGGCTCATTATCATAAACTCTGAAGCAACAATAATATATAGTTGTTGGATCACTACTAGAATATACCACTTGGATAGCTTTGTTTTGTTTTGAACCTACATATATGCTTCGAATGAAAATTAGTATTGAGAGCTTTTCCAGAAAAACTCTCCCTCACTGTATGTATTTTCTGTGTTTGCCTTTTGAGAATTATGATCTCCCATGGGTGTATGTTTTGCGCAAACGTTTTCATAGAAACCTTACAAAATTTTTACATGCTTAGATAATATACGACTACAGTCATTCTTTGCAGATTGCATGGTAGCCCCCTCTAATCGTTTTTCTTTTGGATCTTCATGAGTTTCAAAACCAACGAGATAAACAGGTTTAAGATTAAAGAGGGGAACGGGAAAAGCCATCTCCACTAGTCATCTAGCCAAAGCTTGCCCGGCACCAGTAACCAAAAAGAAATGAAGAACCATTTCATCAGTCACATAGTCACAGAAAATGCAAAGAGCAATTTAATTCTGGGACAAACACAGCCAACATAACATCTTTCAAGGCCTCGAAGTTCCATCCAACTCTTATGTATTGCAAGTAGCAAGGATAAACAAAAGATGACTCCTATGGTAACAATGATCCCAAGCACAGCAGCAGAGGACAATATATATAAACCAGGCAGACCATCAACATGGGAAACATCTTTACATGGGTGTGTATATGTATTTTAAATATATATATATATATATAAACTGGTACTAAAATCAGTTCGCCAAGATGATTTAGTGCATGGGAATGCGAGGAGTGCGAGGCCGAACTGGGGTCTTTGATGGGCTTACCCTGATCATACACAACAACAGCTTGACTTAAAGACAATGGACATAAACACTATCAATCTTATTAGAGAACTTATGGCAAAACAAAAAAACAAAAGAAAATACCATTCTGAAAAATGATGGAAAAATCAGGAATCTGACCTTATGGGCAATGATCCCAGAACCACACCACTACAGTTGAGAGCAGCAATTGCACTTTCAGCCTGCATGTGAACAAGAGAAGATTACAAAGACATTCATTCATGAACACTGAAGCAACCCAATCTCGAGATGATGAAAAAGGAGCTACATGTCACTTGCAAACTTTAAACTTGTTTCAAAAGTTGGACAACATCTCAGATAACCAAATGTAGGTTCAATAACCAAAGAGAGGCAGACAATCAAGAAATAATTCAAAATATAACTTCTTGTCCTGATCCAGATCACTTTAAATAATTCCATCGATGGTAACAAATACCTATCATTTGTTGATCAAAAGTATTTTTTAGCTTATCAAGAAAGTTACAGTATTTAGCAAATAACTACTCCATGGTTACAAACAAAAGCTTATGTTATCTAACAAGCATAACTACAATTGCTATGCAATACCTACCATACTAGAATACAACAGCTAAATCCTAGAATTTAAGGTTACTTCCCTTTGGGCTTTAATCTGTGCAAATGAAACCAACACTCTGAATGGCAAATCTTCACATCATTATTAATGTAGGAAGCACCAGAGCAGACTATAATAATTGATAAGCAAGTTCTCTGTACAAGAGGCCATGCCTTGTAGTTATAATGCAATGTAGTTTTAATTTCCTACTAGACTAGTAGACTACTAGTGGATGAAATGCTAAACTGATATAAAAATCCTCTCTTAGTTGGTGAATTGCACATTATATTCAAAAAACCAGTTGAAAGAAGATTGTTTACAACAACTAACAGATCAATTTCGTTGTAAGTGACTGTTGCTAGTTCTTCAAGCAACTCCAAGGTGAATTTGAATAGAAAAGCTTCTACAATACGCTTCCCCTCAATAACTCCATTGAACAAGCTAAAAGCCTTCAAGCTTCTTTTAGAAAAATTCCAGAGGAATAAACACCAAAAAATTTCTTAAAACTTTCCCCTCTTAACTTTAACAAGGACTTTTCCTAAGATAAGGGGGAAAAGAGGATCTTTTTGGGCATTCCCCAAGATGCAAATCAATGGAACAGTCCTTAGTTTCATACCTTGCTTTCTCCCTTTCTTGTTTCCCCTCCTTTCTATCAAATGCACCTGAACTTTCTTACAAAATGTTAGCTTAGAGAAGGATCAGAAACCCAATATCCTACACTTAACCCAATCGTCCTACTCACTGGCTAGCCTAAATTTTGGGATATAAAGTAAGGTCTTGCAAAGACATAAAACCCTCATTTACCTCATCAAACCCTTCAGAAACCAGAGAAAACTTGTTAAGCTATGTTCAAAAAATTGCGCGAATGAAGAGGAAGAAAAAATTACCATTACAAACTCGACAAAAGCAATGCGAGTTGAATGATGGTAGTCCCCCAGCAACCTCAGGCGATAAACCTACATCAGACAAGATGTCCCTTTAAATGCATCCCCGCAAAGATTTTGTTGTAATAAATAGAAGAAACAGAACTCTGGAGTTAATGGAACAACAAACCTCCCCACAGACTGTTTCAAAAAAGAGTTTAACATCAGCTTGAGTAACCTGCAGAGAGTAAAATCATGTAAAAAATTGTACAGGATTATTTACAATCAGGATCATTATTTATAATCAACATTCACCTTCTTGTCAATGTTAGTACAGTAGATAGTTCTTGCACACATTTGGCGTTCATCTTCATTCTGAAATCGAAATAACAAATGTTTTAACAGGCTGAATAGTTTAAGAGAATAAGAAAATGTATCAAAGACTCCAAGTTATCAACGAGTTCCAGTATAATAAATTTCAACAATAAGCCTCACCCTCGGCAAAAATGTTGGGTTAACTGGTGCAATAGCTGTTTTTGAAGGCAGCACCTTAACTGGGTAGAATCCAAGCATAGTCCCTGCCAGATTCAGAGCAGTTCGTGCACCTTCTGCACAGCCAAACCATCAAGCAGCAAAGTATGTAAATATCACATTTACAGTTAGATTGACAATCCACTAAACCATGCATCAAATAACCATAGTTGAACATCACCTTCGTCAGTGAACTCAATAAAGGCAAAACGAAGTACAGAAGTAGGATCACCACATATGCGGCAGTCAACCACCTTCATAAGAAAAGAAGTTCATTCAGATACATTGTTTTGATGAAAACTGTTAAGACAAGCAATGAAAACAATATCACCTGTCCACAACTCACAAATAAACCTGCAAGCTGCTCTTCAGTGACCTACATCCCAACAAGCAAGAGACTAAATGAATCTAAATACCATAGAGATGATAAAGCAGAAACTGCAGAATTGATTGTGGCATCCTAACAAAGCTGAAAATGCTGAATATATATACCTGTTGGTCAACATCAGAAACATAAACAGTTCTACGGATAATCTCTTCCCTCTGGGCCATACTTGTCCTGCTGTTCAATCTCCGTTTCCCCTGACTGAAATTTTTCTTCTGAGAAAGACAAGATAAAAGAACAGAATCCATGAGACTAGATGATGCTCTTCTCCACAATTGAGATGATGTATACAGAAATTTGCTAATAGTTGGAATTTTAAATTTCATATGGTTTACAATGAACATAAACAATAACCTCCACTCAACTTAACCAAAAAAAAAAAAGAATCAGGTTTTGTGTAATTATTCCCATTTCATCTAAACATGCTAACATAAGAATAGAAACCTTTGTTTTCTCTTTTTCTTTTTCCTTCATCTTCATTTTTGAGAAATCAGACAACTAATATAGTTACTGCACATCCAAACACCACCTTGGGATACCGGATAGTAGAGACAATCAAACAAACTCAGATAACTCAGTTTTTAAGTTAACAGCCGGTGAACTTTTGCAACCCCAAAAAACCTATCATAAGAACCAACCATACAAAACAGAAGGCAATAAAGCAAAGATTGAAACCATAAAGGACAGGAGTACTGAAAATTTCCTTATGCAGAATGCACACGAGCCAGTCAACAACAAAAACATAAAGCTAGAGAAAAGAACTTCTTGACACTTGAAAACCTTCATCCTCCAAAACCCAGATATACCCATCAAACAAATCAGTTTCATTTTCTTCGCTTCTAAATTTTTCCATCAACATGACTAATAGTCTTCATTTAATAGTAGACGAAGCAAAACATCAAAAACTGGGTTTTGGGGGGCATACCCGCCTACCAGCACCATTGCCATGAGCATGTCCATCCCTTGAGATGTTATTGTTGTTACGCAAAAAAATATAGTTAGTGTAAAGCCCTCCATCAAGTCCCTGGTTAACAAGTGAGTGAGGCACGAACTCTTCAGCCATAGGGTTAAGTTTAGAGAACAGTTCTTCCAACTCTCTCATGTCTCTCTTGAAGCTATCCCCAACTTCATCTCCACCACCAACATTGCTCCTCTGAAAATCTCCGCCGTTGGATAGAGGATGGGGACCACCGATCTTGTTGTACAACCCTTGATCGTTCTGGTGTAAGCTCGGATCGATTCTTGACCGAACATGGTTTTGCTTTGACTGATCCTGATCATTTGATGCTACTGCTGCGGCAGCAGCATCCTGATTCGAAGCATTCTCAACAACCGCCATGGCCTGATGATTATTCCTAAAAGAAAGCTCCCTTTTTTATCAACTGATCAACAAAAAGACCTGAAATTTATGCACCCCAAACATCAAAAATAGAGAAAAAATTTAAAAAAATAAAAAATCGAATTTTGAAATGTTGGGAATATAAAAATGATAGAATCCTTTTGGAAACTAAGCTAAATTTACAATCATCTCCACTGATGACGAACAAGAATACAAACCCACCTCGAGATCACTACGGAAAAAACAAAATGGAAATAAATAACAGCAGAAAACAAAGTATGGTAGTAAAAAAAAAAAAGGCCAGATTTTTCATTTCTTACGGTGACTGTAATTTTTTCTCCTTCCTTGTCCTTTTTTTTTTCTACCACTGTTTCACAGTGATCATCTGAGAGATGAAAACAGAGAGGAGAGAGAGACCCAAGAGGATCTGTTTCACATCGTCCTAAATAAGTAACAACAAAGAAACGCTGAGCTTAAATTAATTTTAAAAAAATGCTTGTTCGTTGAAAACTTGGTATGCAAAAAAAAAAAAAAAACTGAAAAAAAACATATTATTTCTTTTTCTTGCATGTCCATGTATGACATGACATTCAGATCATGTATGTGCTATGAATGACGTTCCTTCACCTTCATCATGCATCGCTAGTATGACGTGCCGCTAGGCTATTTGGCTAACGAGTGTTTACTGTTTACCATACTAGTGCTGGTTTTACCGCTTTAACTGTACCTCCGTATTCTTAAAGCAAGGACAACTGGACTGCCTGATGAGGGGCGTTTTGGTAAATTAAAATGGTCGAAGTAAGTAGCCAAATCGGCAACCTTGGTGTGACGGAAATATTGTTGACTTTGGCTTGGGAACGAAAGCACCTCTGATTTTGAATTCCCTTCCTAATTTAAAACATTATCTAAATAAAGTAAAAATAAGATACTTTGCATATAAGACTTTTTTTTTTTACATTTGATTCATAAAATTTTAAATTTTTAAAAAATATATGATATTTAAAAAAAAAATTATTTTCAAGATATTTCATATTCAAATTCACTTGTTTAATTAAAAATAATTCATATATATTAATATTTAAATAATTATAATAACCTTTTTAATACATATGATGATAACTTTTTATTAATTTTTATTAATAATATGTACTCAAAATATAAATTATTCTTTTAACAATAAAATAAAATAAATATTTTATTTGATTATTATTTTTATTTATAAAATATCATTATTAAAAAATATTAGAGAATATTTAAGGTATTTTTGTTTTAAAACATTTTAAATAAATGCTATTTAAAAAAATATGAAAGAATTATTTAAAATATTTTTTGTTCAAAAACTTCTTAAATAATTTCTAATACTTTTTAAAATAAATTATTTAAGACGTTTTTGTCAAAAACGCCTTAAATAATACTCTTTAATTTTTTTTAAATTATTATTTAAGATATTTTTATCAAAATTACTTTAAATAACCTCTAATATGTTTTAAAATGGATTATTTAAAACTAAAAATTATGATCTTATTAGAATTATCACGATGAGTTTTTTTAATTTTATTTAGAAAAGGATGTTTTGAATTAAAATTTTTTCAAATATACATACATTTATTATTGAATTAAATATTTATGTACACAATCTTCCACGAAAAAATATTTATGTACACAAAAATAAGCTTTCTTCACATATAACCCCATAGATCCAGATAATTGAACATTTATATGATCTATATCTCGTGAGTGATATAGTTATAGCGTTTAGTATATTTAATGAGTTTTTTTTTTTTTTGGAATATCTTGTATTAGTATGATATTGTCTAAGATCTAGTCTAGTATGATTTTTTTGTGGGAAGAAAAAAAAAAGTATGATCAAAATTAGTAAATGTGATCGTACCATTTTCATTTAACTTCACTTATGTATATATTATACGGTATATTTAAATTATTTATTTATTTATTTATTAAATGATGTTTTAGTTATCAAAATTTTATTTTTGACAAACTTCAAACATATAAATATAATAAAAAGTAAATTTTGTTTTTTTCTATTTTCAAAAAAATAAAATATGTTATTTTTATTACTTACAGTTTATGGCCCATACGATATTCGTGTTAATATTTTTATATAAAATTATACACGTAAATAGTTTTTTTAATAAAAAATACAAATCTTATATATACATATATTTATGTGATATTTAAGAAAATAAAACTTTTAAAATATTCAATGAGCAATATTCTTAAAAGAAAAGAAAGTAAACATATCTTATAGAAAAAATTTTGGATTAACTCAATATTGCTTCATTAATTTTGCATTGTTTATATTTATTCCAATTTAAGATAAGTTAATATTTTTTTAAAAAATAAACCTATATATTAGAATTATAAGAATAACTCACTTCTATATAATTATTAACTCTATCTAATAAATAAATAAAAATTCCATTACAAAATTCAAATATACAAAAGGATTTTATAGCCAATATAAATATTTGTATGCAAAAACAATTTATATACATTTATTCATAAAAAAACTATTAAGAAAAGGATATAATAAAATTTTAAAATAAAATCATTTATAATACCACTATTATAGAGATATTAATAATAAAACAAACTAAGTACTAAAATAAGTTAATCAAAAAGTAAGATATGTCAATGGACCTACAAAAAAAAAATGTATGGTATCCAAAGTAATATAAATAATCTAATAACTTGCTAAATTAAAATAATATAAAAACTAATAATAAAAGGAATCAATAAAACATAAAATATATAAAATCAATGAAGCATTCTACAAAATAAATTACAAACCGATAAATTAAGGTAGTATAATGATTAAATTATGTTAAAAAAAGAACATGAAAGCAAAATGTTTTAACAACTGTTGGTTATTGCATAAAAAATAAAAATTTAGTTGATAAAGTTTAAGATCCATGTCTACAATCACCTTTATATAAGTGAACAATTATAATTAATTTTTTAAACAAAATTTTTGTTAAATTAAGAATATATAATTATTAAATGCAGGATATATGGCAATTATTTAAAATTATATATATGTCAAAAGAATATAAATTTCACATTAAACTCTTTTTTTAACCAAATGGTTCGATTTTTATATGTTTACTAGTTTTAAGCTCGTGTTATGCATTAGTAAGCAAACTATTATAATTTTCGTTATATATAACATTATTAGCATTAAAATAATTGTTTAAGTAAAATATTGGAAGGTTTATATTAGCATAATAAATACATAACTATATTTAACATACTCACTTTTGTTTTTATAACATTGGAAAGTTAAGTTTTGATTTCTATTATATATTTAAGAATATTACATAATTTTAAAAAATTAGGGTAAAGAAAATTGCTATTATTTTTAATTTCAAAAAATTAATTGTCAAATATTACTTATTTAAAATTTTATATTTGTGCTATACACGAGGCAAGTGTACTTATAATAGTGTTTGTAATATAATATTATTTCAAAGTTTAATATAATTATAATTTTAGAGAACAATTTAATTTTTATTTTCATAATTACAAATATATTGATAACAATTGATAAAATACTTAAGTCACCCTAAATAAATTTTTATCATTATTTTATTTACAATATAATAGATAATCTTGATTTGATTATTAAAAATAAAGCTATAAATGTACAAACAAAAAAAAGTATAATATAGATATTTTTTCTTAATTAAAAAGATAATTTCGTTCATAAAACCAAAGAATTATAGAACTTAAGTATCTTACTAAAGAATGCTCAAAGACATATACAAAAAAACAATTTGTAACAATACTTAATGTTACACAAAATCTAATTTCTCAAAAAAAAAAAAAAAATTACACACAATCTAATCCCCTTTGAATCTATTACCAATCGATATAAAATAATTATGTTTTTTTCACTCCCATCTTTATTAAAGAATCAGCTATATAGTTTACTACTTTACTTATTTAAAGGAATAGGCAAAATCAACATTTCCATTTTTGCTTTTAACAATTAAAAAGCTCATCACTCTTTCAAAACTCACGAATATACGTTGAATATTTAAGATATAATTGTCACTTTAAATCAAATATCATTTATATTTACCTAATTTTAAGAGAACATATAAATAATTAATTAGATAAATTAACATGTTTTTAAAAAATCAATTTAGAAATAAATTTTGATATTAATTTTAGGACATTTTTTTGTAATATTAATATATTAAATGTAGAATTTAATTGTACGTATGTTTTATTCAAATGGGTAAAGGAGTTATATTAATAAATATATCTTATATTCTAAAGAAGTTGAACCTACATCAAAACTAAACTATTGGCATTTTTATTTTAATATTGTATGTTTGTTATAGTTATGAATTAGTGGAATATTAATATGACATCTTCAAATGTCTATCTATCTAACAAAGAAATTGAATCAATAATGTTTATCTAAAAAAGAAAATATATAAGAATATAGAAAATTGAGTATAAGTATTTCAATTGTAATTTGAGTATTTTCAATATTTTAAAACTTGTTAAATGAAATAAGTGGTAAATTTCACAAAATTAAGGAATTTGTTTCATTTTTATAAGATTATTAAAATTTACAAATTAAACCCTCTACATTATCTAAAGCTTAATTTACTAAGAACTCTTAGAAAATAATTTCTCAATTTTTAATTGAAATTAAAACATATTTAGCCGGGTCATAATTAATTATATAATTTTAAGTCTGACTTCACTTGCAATATAATATCTGAAAATCCTTATGATTTGGCTCCCAACCAATACATATTGGCTAAGTATGATAGTGTCCAAATTAATTAATCATCATTGGCATCTTATTGTAAAGCTTTGTAAATCAATAGAATTTTATTGAGTAATTGCCCAAAATAAAACAAAATCATTATGCCTTTGCTAACTAATATCTCATAAAAGAAAAGAATCTCTAACAACATCACATTAAACATAATATTAAAAATATTAAAAAATTGTCTTTAAATTATAGAGTATAAAAAAATTATTATAAAATATATTGTTAATAAAATTGCTATTATAAAAATAAAAACCTAACAATTATATTAACAAAAAAATACGAGTAAAATATCAATAAACTTACAAAAGAATAGCAAGCAAAACTACAAAAAAAAATTTTATAAGATAATAGAGATAAAATTGTAGTAAAACAAAATTAAAAAATTATCAAATTCGATTTGCTTAATTTTTTTTTAAAGAACATTTGTATTTATATTGCTATTAAGAGACATTATCATAAATGTATTAAAAAGTTATTATTATTAATTGTATAATGTAATAATAAATAATAAAAGACACGAAATTAATATAAATTTTCCTTCAAAATTATAAAATTTGAATTCTTACTTAATCTGTATTTAAAATATATATATATTTTATAATTTAATGATATCATTTTTGTCAACCCGTTAAATGGCTTATTTTTCTTTCTTTATTTACTGCATTAAGTTTCATTTAATTTGTTATGAGTAGTTAAAAGATATGGAAATATATTCCTTAGTAATTAGTTTTTTATTTAGTTTCTTTTTTTTTTGTATTATTGACCAAATAATTTGTAACTTATTCATATAAGATACAAATATTGGATATTTAAAAGGTAATAAATATATTTAATTTAGTCTAACTAATTATTTTTTAAGTAACAAAAGTGTTACTATAAAAAATATTTTAAATAAATAAAATGTATTTATTAGAGAATACGTGATAATTTTTTAAACTCATTCATATATAAAATATGTAACTATTCATATTGAACTATTTATTTTTTTAATTAAAGACTTGGACTTTTATATATTTACATAAGATTAATTGTATAATGTAATAAATAATAAAAAACATTAAATTAATATGATTTTTCCCTCAAAATTATAAAATTTGAATTCTTTCTTAATTTGTATTTAAAAAAAAACAAAAGTTTTTTTAATTTAATGATATCATTATTGTCAATTCGTTAAATGGCTAATTTCTCTTTCCTTATTCACTATATTAAATTTCATTTAATTTTTCATAAATAGTTAGAAAACATAAAAATATATTAATGAGTAATTAATTTTTTATTTAGTTTCTATTTTTATTTGTGTTATTGACCAAATAATTTGTAACTTATTAAAAATATTAGATATTTAAAAGGTAATAAATATATTTAATTTAGTCTAACAATTATTTTTTAAGTAATAAAAATGTTAGTATAAAATTATTTTAAATAAATAAAATATATTTATTAGAAAATACATGATAATTTTTTAAACCCATTCATACATAAAAAATGTAAACTATTCATATTAAACCATTTTTTTATTAAAATTTTTGACTTTATTATATTTATACATACAAGATCAAAATCTAAAAAAGGAAAGAAAATAAAAAAAAATTTTTTTTGGTCAACGCAATCCTTGGTTAAATAATAAATACTAAATTTAAGGAAACATTTAAAAAAGGGCTTTAGGAGTGACGCAGGGACAGGGGGGAATGGGCTTGGGCCACCAATCGTAAAAGGGCTTGGATATTTTGAGGCCGAGCCTCAGAGGAAAGAACGAGAAAGAAAAGAGACAGACGCGAAAAAGAATTTTTTGTTTTTTAATTTATTTCCTTTCAGTTCCGGTCCTTCCCTGTGCGAGGGAGATGCCATTTTCGTTTACCCCTGCGGACGCCAAGAGAGTCCTTCAGATCATCGTATCAACAAAGGATTATAATGTTTTCAGGTACTCATTCTTCAATTTCAAATCAATTTCGGAAAAAAAAGTTAGGGGAAAAGCTGTTAAATTAGCGGAACACTTTTAGTTCAATGTGAATTTGGGGGGGGTTAGGAATTTAAGATTTTTAGGTTGGGTCTTTTAAATTTTTGTTGTAATTAGGGTTTAGGATAATAATTATGAAAGGCCGGACTCATCGGGCTGATCCCCACGACGACTGGGGAGACGATTCATGGACGGTGGACTGCATCTGCGGCGTCAATTTCGATGACGGTGAAGAGATGGTGAAGTGCGACGAGTGCGGTGTATGGGTGCACACGCGTTGCTCGCGTTACACCAAGGGAGAAGAATTGTTTGCCTGTGACAAGTGCAAGAGCAAGAGCAACCGTAACGACACCGAGGAAACGGAGGTGGCACAATTGCTGGTTGAACTGCCTACAAAAACGGTTAGGATAGAGAGTAGTTATGTGGGCCATGTGCCTCCCCCACGGCCCTTTAGGCTTTGGACTGATATCCCCATGGAAGAGCGTGTTCATGTTCAAGGGGTTCCGGGAGGGGAACCTGGTTTGGTTGGAGGGTTGTCTGGGGTTTTTACGCCGCAGTTATGGAAATGTACAGGGTACGTGCCTAAAAAGTTTAATTTCCAGTATAGGGAATTCCCATGTTGGGATGAGAAAAAAGAAGATGATAGTAAAAATGGTAAGCAAATTGAGATTGAGAATGGGAATCTGGTTGATGGTGGTGCTGGAGTTCTGTTTTCCTTGTCCAAGGAGAGGGTGTTTGGTGCTCCAATGTCTCCGAATAAGGATGCTTTAAATGAAGGGAAGAAGAGTGATGATGAGGATTTGGATGGAAAACGTTGGCAGAATGGGGCAAGGGAGGACAAGGGTGTTCTTCAGCCTGTTGTGGTACCCTCCAGTAAGCAGAAGAAAGACGACCTTGGGGGGTCCAAAGATAAGAGTGCAAAGAAGAAGGCTAGAAATGCTGCTGAGAAAGAAGCTTACGAAAATAAGAGAGCTGTACAGTCCCATAAGACAGGTTACTTTCTTTGCAATTGAATTTAATGCTGTACAAATACATAGATCAGAGATTCAAATTATCTTGTCATTATGAGAAATGTAGTTATTTATTCAAAAATATGTGTTTCATATTATTGGAATGAATGGTAATGGTGAATCTCATCTTTACAGAAGTTGGCATATGTATGTTGACCCCAGGCTCTTTTTGTTGTTCTTGTGTTTGTTTGCGTTCTTATTACTAGTGTTTAGACCCAGCAGTGATGCAAAACAATTGGAATTTTATGAAGACAGAGGTCCGAAGTTTTTCAAGACTCATGTTCAAAGTGTAAAGAACAAAAATTTGAAAGACAATTTGCTTCAAGAACACACATCAGATGGTAGCCTTGCATTGAACCTTGTAGTTGAAAGGCCTAAGAACGACCTAGGGGAAAGGGAGTGTACCTCAGAGGTCTCAATTCCTGGCATGTCTGGACATGATTGTCCAATTAGAATTGAAGCAAAGGATGAGAAAGCTGACCATCAATTTCCCACGGCTATGAAGACCTCCGCAAAATCTGAGGATCTTGTTGCATTGCCATTAGAGCACAAATATCTTGGGATAACTCCTGATAAAGAAGTGGTATCTTTGTTATGCCTTTCATTTATTGGTATTAAGGATGAATTTTGTTGTTGTTGTTTTTGTAGTTCTGTCTGTTGTAATGTTTTTTTTCTCTTTTAAAAAAAAAACTTTATCTAGCAGAAGAAAAGAAGCTCTATTAGTTGATGTTACATCACAACCACCAGAGTCTTCAATCTTCTTGAAGCAAGTCTATAATGTTGTTGGGTCATGTGAAATCAAAATCAATTGTCTCAAAATGTTGTAGTAGGCCAAACTTCTGCTTTTTGGTAAATAGGTTTTGCTTTTGATCTAGGGGACACCATGATAATAGAAACGGGCAAGTTGCTCAAGAAAGGGTGCCAAGTTCATTATACAAGAGAGGAGACTTTCACAAATTACTAAAATAAACTAACTGCATAAGGTTTTTGTTGGTTACAGAATTTATACCTATTCATGGATTGCAGGCATACCTATCTTGGAAATGATCAAAGAACTGTAGTGTACCATGCTAAGCAAACTTCAAAATCTCATCTAAAACACTGAAGCTGAGAGATATTGACATGAAAAACAAAATTCCAAAATGTAAAGCAGTTAAAGCTTCAGTGTATTAGTTCTAAAATTGTTGTGTTACACTTTTAGTTTGCTTTGTCACAAGTAGGTTGCAGTTGTACCTATACTTGTTCTCTAAAATTGAATATTGTGTAAAAATTTTGAAATGTTGCATTGAAAGCATTACTTAGATACATGTTGCAAATTTATGTAACTATTGTGAGTTATGACATTGACAACTAGTCTGTGCAATTTGCATGCACATTAATGGTGCATGCAATCCTTGATGTTTCTTTCTGTGTAAAATAGTAGAGAAGGAGGATTTAACAAGCATTTCTGATATGCTTTTGGTTTCACTTGGTATTTTAATTAACTTTTCATATTTTTGTGAATAGGGTGATAGCATGGCAGTTGACAAAGGAGATGGTGGTGTAGAAGGTTCTAAAAGAAGTCCTCAGGAGTATCTGGTTAACAATTTGGCTAGTACTGCCCTGGGAGTTCAGGGCAATCAGATTCTTAAAGATTCTAATTGCATCATGTCTCACAGTTTTGTTAAACCTGATATCGAGGTTAAAAGAGAAATGAATGATGATGATGACTCTAAGGTTGTTTTAACTGCTGAACCTTCTCCTCCTGATGATACTAAAAATATAGAGACATCTTTCCATCAGACATCAGAGACTTCCCAAATGAATGATGCGGTCGGAGGCAGTTCACAATTTTCTGACAGTAAGGTGAAGGTCATTGAGTCAGATATTGTTGCTGATTGTGGTTCTGATAAAGCTAACAAGTTGTCTGGTGATTGTTCGATGCTAAAACGTGATTTGGAGGGTTTAGAAGTTCCTGAGTTGGTGCAGAAAAGTTCTTCAGAATCCAACCATGTTCCTGGATCTGCTGAAGAGCCTAAACCAAGTGCAAATGTTGTAACCTCTGAAGAACAGTCTATCCAGCGTAAAATGGTAGTATGTGTTGGAAAGTCACCTTCTACTTCATCTGTTGCCATAATCCCCGTGTCATCTATTCCTGATAACTCTAAACGTACAGATACTCAGAATTGTAATCCTAGCACGGAGCAGCGGGTAATGCCTGATAATAATGTGAGCATTAAGAATGATCATGCTGCAAGTGATGTACCTAGGGATGAAGACAGACATGACATATCTCGGAAGGCAGTAAAAGAGCGTCTAAAATCCTCTGTTAGTTCTACTTCAAAAGTCTCACACCAAAGCAGGATTTCACATACTTCCATTTCTAAAAGAACCATATCTGAATCAAAAGATTCTGTACCTTACTCATCTTTAAAGGCATCTTTGGTGCAGAATACTTCAGCTACCTCAGTCTCTGGCGAGTCTGCTGGCTCACTGCAAATTCAGTCTGCTTTGCATGTCCAACAACATAAGACATCAGCTTCATGTTTCCCACAGAAAAGTGAGAAGTTCAATCAGTCAAGTACTAAGGTTACCCATGCATCAGCAGCGCATCCTTTTGCACCATCCATTTCCCCTACTCTGAGTGATGAAGAGGTGTGAGATCAAGTGCTATCTTCTAATAAGATAATTTATTATTCCTTCTCTTTCTCTCTCTCTCTCTTTTTTTAATTTTTATTTCTAGGAGCTTCCTTTAACAATTTTATTCTTCCTCTACAATTTCAGCTTGCTTTACTTTTGCATCAAGAACTTAATAGTTCACCAAGAGTACCCCGTGTCCCACGTGTGTGGCATGCTGGTAGCTTTCCTCAGCTGGCATCTGCTACTGCAACAAGCATGCTAATAAAGCGCACATCTAGCTCCGGAGGAAAGGATCACAGTTTGGTAATATGTGCACGTCCTTTTCTAACATTTTTGTGCCAACCAGCTATTCCTGTTTCAAGTATTAGTTGCATCGGTAAACAGAGGTTTTCAACAGGGTTCAGCTTTGATGTGTGTTTCTTGCATTTGTAGGTTCCTAGAAGAAAAAATAAGGATGCATCTAAAGATGGCTCCCGTGTTTCTCGTGATCTTGATCATGAGGCTAAAAGGACTGATAAAGTGCCATCTTCACCTGATCAGGGTAAAGATATTGGATCTGCCATTCATGCTTCTGCTAAAAGGGATTGCAAGAACATATCTTCCGCGCCTACCACAACCACAAATAGTGGCCCTTCTTCTTCCACTGAAGTTCATGATCAAAATTTGTCATCTATTCGCAGTTCACCTAGGAATTTATCTGACGATGACACAGGCACAATTCCTGGTTCTATACCTCGTACTTTACCTGGTAACTGCCTCTACAAGAAGTCTTATTTACCAAAAATATCCTGAATTAGGACCAATCTTATGTTTTTTTGCTTAATCTTTAATTAACCATTTGTAATATTCTTCATGTTTTCAGGCTTGATAAATGAGATTATGAGCAAAGGCAGGCGAACGACATATGAAGAACTTTGTAATTCAGTGCTGCCGGTATGTTGCTTCTGTCAGGCAGAGTTCCTACTGGTTGCCTTATGACATCTTTCTTTTTACCCCTGGTAGTTCTTTTAGAGGAAAAATTTGCTTCTCATTCTTTTCTTTTCTGCTATTGTTCTAGCACTGGCCTAACTTGAGGAAACATAATGGAGAACGCTATGCATATTCTAGTCATTCTCAAGCTGTTCTTGATTGCCTAAGAAATCGACAAGAATGGGCTCAGTTAGTTGATCGTGGCCCCAAGGTATGCACATAGCTTGTGGCTGAGCCTCTTTGCTACTTTGTTTGTGCACTGTATTCTGCTGAGGGAATAAGGGATGCAAGTTTGAGCGGTAAATTCCTTATGGGACCCAAAACCACAAAACCAGTCTGGTGTGGACTTTCTTTTTTGACTAATAATCATTATTTGCTGCTGTCTTACAATTTTGTCCACGTGGATTGTTGTTGCTTTCACTTTTTTGGTTTAGCTAATGAAAATTGTATGTTAGTGAATAAAAAGGTAAGGAAATAGATGCCTATGATGAGGCCTTGTGACATATTTGAATTATCTTTGTCAAGTTACGTCATCTATTGGCATGGTGACAGCATTGCTGCGAAGGTGTATCGCAAATTTTTTTGCTTAACCTCTCTTATGAGGTTCACTATTATTCCTAAGCACTTGTTGGTGATAATATTAAGCCAAAAGATGCGCACAAATAAACAGGAACTGATAGAAAGGGACAGTAGCAAAGGCAAAGGAAAATAATTTTATAGGGCTCACAGTGGTCTAATAGCACCTGGACTATAATTCAGTTGTTTTATACCATGTACATTTTACTCGGAGTTAGCATTTAATTTGTTTTTATTTTTTATTTCCTTTGCATAATTTCACAGTTATTGACTTGTAAAATTTTAATGAATTTTATTTTTGTTGGATTTTAATTAAAGATTGCGATAACATTATTATATAGCAGACTAATTCAAGTAGGAAAAGGCGCAAGGCTGATCCTGAAGAATCAGAGGATAATGAATGCTGCAAGGGAAGAAGTAGGAAGGAGGTAGAAAGCAAAAGCCTCGAGTCACAGAAAGAAGAGTTTCCCAAGGGCAAACGGAAAGCAAGGAAGCGAAGGCGACTGGCTTTGCAAGGAAGAGGAATAAAAGATGTCCAAAGGAGAAGGAAGACAGATTTCAGTGATGATGATGCTGGGCCCTTCTCTAATTCCAGTGAGGAGAGCATGTTCAGTGAGGATGAGATCCAAGGTGGCACAGCTTGTCCCGTGGGAAGCGAGGCCTCAGCCAGCTCAGATGAGACCATGTAACTTGAGGCGTATCGATTCTTGGTTTCAACTGATTTCCGGAGATGAGGAAATGGATTCAGTTTTAACATTTGGACAGTGGTCTTCTTGTGTTTGCTGATAGTGAGTCCATCTTCCATGCGCGGATCTTTTGAGATGATTCTCTGTATGCAGTGACTCCACTTTTTGTGCGGCAATGGGTCAATAATACCACACCAGCGATTCGCTATTGGCTTTGAAGAGTTGCTAGGCCTGCTGAGTGAGTGGTAGTGCCGGTTGTTCTTGTGCTCCGATTAGTAAATGTAAAACTAGTGTGGATAGACTTATTTTTTGGTACTATTACGTGCCTACAACAAGTTTCAAGAAAAGTCTTAGTAATCTGAGATTACATTTTACACGAACAAGTAAAAGCTACCATCACAATTATATATATTACAATGTGTTCGTAATAACCAATGAGCAAACCACCAAGTACCATTACAAGTATTGCAAGTTTTAGTCTCCGTGCATTTTTTGTGCGTGGGGTTGCTAACCATTTTGTCCTTATGTCACCTCATAACATAATTATGATTTTTCTCTTATTCTTACCTGAAAAAGAGGAAAATATTGGATGGAAATGCGAAGGCTATCGTCATACCAATATATGCATTGTTATTATTGTCGTTACTGCTCCCCATGTCTTCCCATTTTTTATTGCACTGACGATCAAGAAGAAACGAAGGCTGACTTTTGTTTGTATATAATAATAAAATAATAATCATAGACTGCCATGTTGGATAAAATTATCAAATTATTTATTATTTGACCAACTGAATATTCAATCATGCTCATGTTCTAAGAGATTAATTTAGGGAACGAATTAAGTCATCAAATTGTCTGTCAATATGAGAAATCAAAATTTATTTTTATTTCAGACATATTCTTTTATTCTATTCCAAATAAATAAATAAATAAAGATACATAAAAGTTACACCAATCAAGAATGGTCATTTTTCTATATTTAGCAAGTGAAAATTTATTATATTTTCTCACTCTTTTTATTTATTTTGTTGAACAAATTAAAATAATTTTAATCCAAATATAATTGTGTCAAGGAAAGGAGTCACAACCTTACTTCTTACGAAAGGAATTGCTGCAACTGAAAAGAAAAACCTTCCAATAAAACTGGTGTTTATGTTTAAAGTAACCGACTTTGACAAGCTCTGGTCAGGTTGAAAAAAAAAATGAAAAACGAAAAAAAATAAAAAGAACAAAAGAAAAGAAAAGATTTTTTTATTTAATCTATGATTTGGGTTATTTGCCATTTTATTGTTAACGCCTATAAAAAGGTGCGTGACTCAAAGTTAAGAAAAGACAAGATCGTTGAAAAGACGGTAAGTTTAAGTTTGCTTTGTCCAATTAACTCTTTCTTCTTCTCTCTCCCTTCCTTCTCCCCCTATCTGTTTAGGGTTCCCCGATTATTCCATTTTCCCCTTTTTTAAATTTTATTTTCTCTTCCAATTTTCGTGCATTCCCTCATCGACGGACAAGCGATTATCTGCTTTGATTCTGATCTCCTATAGGTGATCCTAATCTGCTTGATTTCTGAATTGGATAGTCTTGATGATTCTTTTTTTTTTTTTTTCAAAGAAATTGTGTTTTGGTTGATGTGTAGGGTGGTGATTCATCGATCATGACGATTCCGGATTCGGGATTCATGATGGAGAATGGGGTAAGTTGCTTGCCGTGCACGCCCCAAGAAGAAAAAAAGATGGTTACTGATTTAAGAAACGAATCCGAGCGTAGCTTGAAAGAAGGCAACTTGTATTTCGTTATTTCGAGTAGGTCCGTTTTGAACGAATTTTAACCCTTTTTTTTTTTTGGCTGGTTGTTGTTTGAAAAATCTATAACGAAAATGCATTTGGTTTTTGAATGTGCCAGTTCTCTTCCAATAATCAATTAAAATTAAATTAATTACCTAGTTTTAACATCGGATTTTTAATTGACTGTACAATTTGGGCCTTTTTATTGTAGGTGGTTTCGAACGTGGGAGAGGTATGTTGGGATAGACGCTGATGAAAATTTGATTGGGAACCAATCTTCTGATTTTCGGCATATGAATGGGGCTTCTTTGATCATGGCAGAAAGGCCGGGTCCTATCGATAACTCTGATATTGTTGAAAATGGAAGTGATTGCGATTGTAAGGACAATGAGATACAGCTTCGGAGAATGTTGACGGAAGGGCAGGATTATGTTTTGGTACCACAAGGAGTCTGGGAAAAGCTTTATGAATGGTAATGTTTCACCTCTGGCTATTTTCACATTGATATCTATAATGTATATGCTATATGCTTTGGTCATGTTGATAGTGTATTGAGTTACCAAACTACTTGTGAAGATCTACGATGAAGTTCTCTGAAAGAGTTGTTAGCCTTTTTTGGTAGTAATAATTTTGATGTTTATTCAAGGTTAATTGTGAGATTTAGTTAGTGGTTTATGTTTGTAAAATGGATAAACATACAAAGAAATGTGTAGACACATTTCTGCCATCATGATCAAATAACATTTACCTCTAGGTTAAAACAGTGTACTTGAGCGACTTGATCATAAGTAATACACCTGAATGTACCTACCTTTGCTGTACTTATTCGATTAACTATCAGTTAAAATTTTTTTTATGTTTTTTAATATATCTTTGTATTTCTTTTTAGGTATAAAGGAGGGCCATCATTGCCAAGAAAGATGATTTTGCAGGGTTTTTATCATAGAAAGTATAACGTGGAGGTTTACCCACTTTGTCTTAAGTTGATAGATTCCAGGGACGATAGTCAGTCAATTATATGGTTAAGCAGAAAGGTATGGCTTTTGATCTGCATGGATTGGGGGTTTGTCCATTCTTTTGTTATATTGCTTAGGCCAAATGGAAGATAATGGTGATAAAGTTATTTTGTTAACACAGGCTTCTGGTATTGATGTTTGTTCATTGTAAGTTTTGAAATCTTAGACAAAACCAGAAATTATTCCAATTCCAACCAATTGTTAAAGTGATATGAAATTGCCTTTTGGTTTCTAAGGTCTTATTTTCAGGTCTTTAGTGTCCTTGAAAATATGCATTTTTGTTGTAGACCATGCAGGTTCTAACTCCCCTTTTTCCTCACTTCTATTCTTTTGGTTGGATGGTATGTTTAGGCTTCTGTAACTGAGCTTTTCCAAAAGGTCTGTGCGCTTAGAGGAATAGAGCGGGATAAGGTGAGCATGTCATTTTTTTAAGTATATATTCTTTAATATAATTATTTTAGAAGTAAATTTGTTTGATATAAGTAAACTTCAATTATGTGTTTTGGTTCATTATATATTGCTAGGCTTGCATTTGGGATTACTTCAATAAGAGAAAGCATGCACGGTTGATTGTTTCAAATAAAAGCCTAGAGGAAGCAAACTTGCAGATGGATCAAGATGTGAGTATCTTTTTGTTTGTCTTTCCCTGTTTCCATTTCTATTTGATTTTGATTTACCTGCATGTTTGATGAAACTTTACAGATTCTTCTGGAGGAAGTTGATGGATGTCATTCTTCAAGATTTGGCATGGATTCTACAGGAAATGAACTAGCTTTGGTTTCCTTGGAACCTTCAAGATCACCCTTGACAATTGCTAGGGGGCCAACCTTGTCCAATGGTCACTCCTCAGGTTACAGATCAAATCTGTATCCTGGAAGTTCCTTAAGCTCAGGATTAACAGATATGGATGATGGTTTTGATGCTTATAACTCTGTTAGAAAAGGAGAGAAGGGCGGTTTGGCTGGATTGCAGAACCTAGGAAATACTTGTTTTATGAATAGTGCTCTTCAATGTTTAGTGCACACACCCCCTCTTGTTGAGTACTTCTTGAAAGATTACAGTGATGAGATCAACACAGAAAATCCTTTAGGAATGCATGTAAGTTGTGGTGCTATCAACCATTTTGTTTTTGAGTTTAATATTGATTGTTCATTTGCACATTTTGACACCTATTCTTGAGCGCTCCACAAAATCTCTAATATAAGTTGAACTTGTGCAGGGGGAGCTTGCACTTGCATTTGGTGAGTTGTTACGAAAATCATGGTCCTCAGGGCGAACTGCAATAGCTCCACGTGTATTTAAGGGAAAACTTGCTCGGTTTGCACCACAGTTTAGTGGTTACAACCAGCATGATTCTCAAGTAAGTATTTTGTGATGACTGAATGCTCTGTTCTTCTGCAATGTTGGCAATTGGGTAACTTGTATAAATTAGTGTGGGCATTATTTTTTTCGAGTATGTTTACCACAACAATATTAAGTTGGAAAGAAAGCAATGAATGTTAAAATCTTGAAAAGTAGCAAATAGGATGCTTAGTTTGACTTTACAGTTACAATTTTGATACTTTAAATTACTCCTAAGAAGGCAAGCGCGGTTAGTGATTGTATGATTGTTTAGCAAAACATCGTATGTTCTCAAAATTCTGGTGATGCTGCAGTATGGAGGACTAGAGATATTTAATCTTGGACTTATAATTTTTACTCTAAGGCTTAGCATGGACCTTTTTTGTTATACTTTAAAAACAACTTTAAGAATGACTTAGAATGTTGTTTAAATGGTATCTCTAGGTATAACTTTTAGGTGTTACATCTATTTTTTTATCATATTTATGCTTTCTCTAATGATGGAGCATCTTTTGTTTAGGAACTTCTGGCTTTCTTACTGGATGGGCTGCATGAAGACTTGAATCGGGTTAAACAAAAACCTTATATTGAAATGAAGGATTCAGACGGTCGTCCTGATGAGGAAGTTGCAGCTGAGTGTTGGAAAAATCACAAGGCCAGGAATGACTCAGTTATTGTGGATGTATGCCAAGTGAGAAATTTTCTTATTTTGACTTTGATTTAGAGCTGCATATGATAGCCATCCTTAACGTTATGTTGAGTTAAGAGTGGTATCAGGGTTTTATTACATGGCAAATACAATTACTCATCTAAGATATGTTTTCAGTATCACTTTAAATGGTTTCATGACCAATTGCATTTTTCTGAGCATACTTAGAAGTTCCATTTTGCAATTTTGCCATTATTTGGCTGTTTCCGTTCTTTAAGATTTGGGCATTTCTCAGACTATAGGTGTCTAGTGCTTTTGTGGTTTCATCTTTGATATGTCCTACGCTTATGTAACTGTTTTCATTCATCTTGCATGTCAATAATACACAACTTCAAGTTTCTAAGCACGGAAATTAGGCTGATTTTCCCTCATGTTACTAACAATTGGAATATTGTTGATAATGCTCTTGCCTCTCAGGGTCAATATAAGTCAACACTGGTTTGCCCAGTTTGCAGCAAAATTTCAATTACTTTTGATCCCTTCATGTATCTATCATTGCCACTACCTTCAACTATCACTAGGACAATGACAGTGACGGTGTTTTATGGTGATGGAAGTTGTCTCCCAATGCCATATGCTGTCTCTGTGCTGAAAAATGGTTTCTGCAAAGATCTCCTTTTGGCATTAGGTACTGCATGTTGCTTGAAGAGTGATGAGAGTCTCGTACTTGCAGAGGTAAATTTAGCTTGAGTTGATTCTTAATTTATTTTTAGCTGTTTAAGGAATAGATTACCCTGATTGGCTAAAGTAGTAAATCTTCTATATCAGGTCTATGGAAACAAGATTTACCGATTTTTGGAGTCGCCTTTGGAGCCATTGATTTCGATAAAGGACGATGAACGTATTGTGGCCTTCCGATTTAAAAAAAAAGGGATGGGTAAAACTAAGCTAGTAATTTTTCATCGATGGCAGGAAAAGTAAGTTTACTTCCTTTGTCTCTCTAGCTATTGGAATTTTGCCCAATCAAATTATATTGTTGTAATTGGGTTTACTATCTGCAGACACTTTAATATTTTGGAAAACTAAGGATTCATAATTTCATCTATCATTGCAATTGTCTTGTGATTATTATTGTTTTTCTAAATAGCAATCATCTGTGTCACACGGTTCATCTGTTGACTGTGCTTACCATTTGTTATGAATTTGGTTAAGAAAATCTGCAGAAGGGTTAATTTCTTTTGCAGTTTACTAGGAAATGAGGAATGGACCTTTTTGGCTTCTTATATTTGGCTTAAGTTTTTGGAGGGGGCGAGAAAGTAGTCTCATATTCTGTTAATAAGCTGAGAGAGAGAGAGAGAGAGAGAGAGAGAGGGGATGGATATTTCTTCTTAGTTTTTGGTTAAAATTTTTTTAGGGCGGGAGAGTCATATGAATTTGTTGAATAAGCTGTCTTCTTCTTCACTTCTTTTTCTTTGCTTAAGATATTGGACCAATATACTGTGCTTTCCAGATTCACAACAGATTATCTTAGGATTGGCACAGGGCTTTTTGGAACTCCACTGGTTACTTATTTGGGAGAAGACCAACCAAGTGGAGCTAATATTGAAACCGCTGTCTCTAAAGTACTGTCACCTTTCAAAAGAACATATCCTTCAGCTAAGGCACATATTGGCAAGGAAAATGGCTTTCTTTCAGATGGTCTTGATGAACAATGCGGCAGTTCTGATGCTATGTCAGTTGCAAATGCAGAACTTGAGGTTACATCAAGCACAGACTTATCACTTCCACTCCTTTTGATTGATGATAGCTTTATGAACTTCAAGGCTTTTAAGAAGGATACCTTCTTTGAGTCCGGGAAAATCTTAAGGGTTGTGCTAGATTGGACTGACAAAGAACAGGAGCTATATGATGCCAACTACTTGAAGGACATCCCAGAGATTCATAAAGCAGGGTTTGCAGCAAAAAAGACCCGGCAGGAAGCCATCTCTCTATCTTCATGTTTGGATGCTTTCTTGATGGAAGAGCCTCTAGGGCCTGATGATATGTGGTAAGTGCTTAAAACACGTTTAAATAGATTTCAGATGATAAAAGTTGCAGATACTCACTTTGCTGTAAGCAAGTATTGATGCCTTAATGTTATGACTTAAATTATCTATGCAGGTATTGTCCTCGATGCAAGGAACATAGGCAAGCTATAAAGAAGCTAGACTTGTGGATGCTACCAGAGATTATTGTTTTTCACTTGAAACGCTTCACTTACGGCAGATACCTAAAGAACAAGATTGACACTTTTGTGAATTTCCCAATTCACAATCTTGATTTGAGCAAATATGTGATGAACAAAGATGGGCAATCTTGTGTATATGAGCTATATGCCATCAGCAACCATTATGGTGGTCTAGGTGGTGGCCACTACACTGCCTATGCTAAGGTAAAGTACTAATCTAGCTGATTAGCACTTTTATTAGTCTATCCCGATAGCCATCTCTCATGGATAATACTTACGCACCTTACTCATAATTTTTAACTTGTGACCATCTTCAATATCATTTATGACTTGATGGTTCTGTGGAATTGCCTTTCATACGGGATATTGATTCAATTCATATCTAAGATGCTTTATTTTTCCACTTTTGCAGTTGGTTGATGAGAATAGATGGTATCATTTCGATGATAGTCATGTTTCTCCAGTCAACGAATCTGACGTCAAGACCTCAGCTGCTTATCTGTTGTTCTATAAAAGAGTTAGAACTGAATCCAAGGTGGAGACAGGAGAGGCATCGCATAGTCACTTCATCTCTTAAGGCCCTGGTTGAGTGCATTTTGCGATACTGTTGCTTCTGGAGCTGCCTCCATTTGAGCTGAGGCTGGGTTCATCTGCGACAGTCACTATTATACCATGTGATGAACTGATGATTTACTTGGCTGAGGAAGCCGATCAGCCCCACATGTTATAGAAGATAGGTGACCCTAGCACTGGACCAATAGCGAAAGGGTGATACAATTAAAAGGTGGGGGCGAATATTAGTTCAATTATTATTTAAATTTTTTTTAAAATTTTTTGGGCAGAGTACTAGGTTTGCCGCTTATAGGTGCCTAATTTGTATTATGAGCAAGTGATGATAGCCAATAGCCATCTATTGATTGTAACCTTTTTCTACAGAAGTGTCTGTCACCTGACTGCTAGTCAGTTAGCCATTGAACTCGAAGATGATTTAGTCTTTTAACAATGTCATTAGACATTATTGACAGCAATGCATGTAAATATTAAAAGATTTTAGAATTGAGTGCAACAGTGAATTCCATTTTATTTTATCCTTTCTTCCCATTGCATGAAGAGAGGGGAGTGACCGACTTTTTCTGTCTGGGAATTTTATCTTGTAAAGGAAGAAAAGATTCGAGGGGGGAACAAGTGACCTGGAAACCATCAAAACTATCTCTACCAACTTTCAGCCGAATTCTCAAACATAATACCATATTAGTTTAGTAAAATGAGGACCCAACCGCTATGACCTTTATTTTTCATGTCTTTTTCTTCTCCATCTACTACTGTTCTTTGTCTCTTCTGTTTTCTAATGATATCCCAATGTTTGGAAGGACGGAATCAGGTTGCTGGCCAAAACACTTTACCATTCGAACTGATAACCAATCTGTGAAAGAATTCCTTAAAAATAGAAAAATAGAAATTAATTCAAGACGGATTAGATTGTACAAATTTTTTGGTCAATATAGCTTTACTATTGAATTAATTAACGGTGGTAAAAATATTCTTGCAGATTATAGTTAAGGGTAAATAACCCTTGCATGGAGAACAATACAAAAGAAGCAAACTAAAAAGTTCTGACTTCTTCTCCTACATTTCCTCCATCGGCACCAATTTCTAACCCAGGAATTTTTATTCATACTCCTCATGGGTATCTGCCTCATCAAATTCCAATTCAGCCCTCCTATTATTCTCAATTTGCATAAGATCCAAATCAATGAACTTCAATTTCTTATTCTGAAATTATATCTTCAACAGAAAACCTATTGAAAGATACAAAAATGAAAACTATAGAAATAAGAGATTTTTATGATCCAGGACTCCCTGTTGACATCTATAAGATACTTAACAATATTTAAAAATACCATCTCTCAAAAAAAATCACAATTCAAAAAATAGATGATTAAATTAGCTGAATTTTTAGCTAAATAAATTAATGCAAAATAACTTTTTGATCAAATGGTTTTCGACAATCTCCTTTTTTTTATACCTGCTAAAATAACGAGATATTGATTATTTTGAAGAAAATCAATTAATAATCCAAGAAATAAATAATTTTTTGAATTTTTGTGATTATTTTGAAGATATCAATTTTTGTTTGAAAATATTTTGGAGCCTATGAAGCAGGCAGTAATTCTGAATTATTTTCTGATCTTGAAGCAGTAGAACTGCTACACACATTGATCACCCTCAAAAGTCTTTTCTTTTAATACCAAGAAAGTTGACAAATGTGAAATAAATCTAAAAGAGATTTTTCATAATCTTTTAATCTTGAAGACGAAGAGCTGCTAAACCTGGATAATATTTAAGAAAGATAAGCTAATCCAAGTTTATCCCAATTACTGTAGCAGACAGCCGAAAGTGGGCTTGGTCTCCGACAAAACAACTATAGCAAACAGCTGAAAAGATAGCAGACAACCATAGCAAAAGATATACAGTAAAAAAAAAAACAGTACTGATATTACAGTATTTTGATTGGTACGGTTTCCTAACCATGTTTAAACAACTATGGTTAGTTTTTGTCTCTATATAGACTCTGAAAGGGTTAAGGCAGAGGGTCTTGAAGCAGCTTACTCTCCCTGCCTACTAGCCACACTTTCATCATCACTACTAGTCTTTTACCCTCCTCTATTGTAAATTTCTACCAATATTTTAAATATCTAGTTTGTCACTATTATTGTTGGTGTTTGCGTTTGTTCGAGTGTCTTTGTTCGTGTTTGTTCGTGTGTCTTTGTTAGTGTTTGTTCGTGTTTGTTCATCAATGCTAAATGGATATATAAAAAATCTGAATAATAATAGTACATCCTCCTGGCCACTACAACCAGAATGGAGATAAAAAAGAAGCAATAATCAAATGTAGCAAATTAACAATCATCGACTAGACTAGTAAATGTGAGATGCGGTCCCTCTCTCTACCAAACTCTCTCAATCAGCAAACCTAACACCCTGCAACAAAAAGTGAAAAAAGATCACTTGATTGCTAACTAAAAAGATCAAAAGCAACCCAAATGATTTGGGTTCAAAATACCAAGTCAGGCCTTACGCCACCCACCATCACCCAATTGCCCAAAAACAAAAAAAAAGAAAGTTGACAGAGTAGGGCTCTCGTTGGATATTTTACATGCACTTATGCATTTTTGGGACAACAGTCAAAGGTAAAGTTGATATTCCATTGAACACTCTTAGAACCGTACAAGCAAAGAAACAGAATTTACCTTTCCCTTACAACGAAGCTGCCTCTCTTTATTCCCTCTCCGTTGCCCTTTTTTTTTAAGTTTTCTCTTAAATCTAATAAAAAGAGCTTTGAATTCGTCTCTACACCAACGTTTTAGTCAATAACAATGATGCCAGCAGCACATGACCGACGATTTGATATCTTTCCTGCTATCAACCAAAAAATTGAAAAAACGATAATGTCACCATTTCAAAGTTTGTCATTATCAGACCCAGGCAGAAGAATCCAATGAAAGGTGTGCAATTTAAATCTCTTAAATCTTATCAAGATAACGGAATATCCGCAATGAAAAGTGGAAGTTTAACGGTTAAAATGTGAAAACTCCAAACTTCTACCAATAACTTACCGTTGCGGAAGAAATAGACAAATAACCAGTGGAAGAACTCGTCGGAGAAGATGGCGTCCTCACGGCATTTCCAATACCTCCAGCGGCGGTCGTATTACTTCCGACGACGTTGATATTACTTATACCAAGATGATAAGCCGGCGTTCCATCAGGCTTAAACAACCCGTAATTCCTCTCTGAAGTGGGACCTGGTTTCATATTCTCATTAAACAAAGCAAAAACATAAATATTAAGATCCGAATTCGGCCTCATTGGAGTTCCTGTTTTTTTCGCCATCAATTTAATCAAATTCCCATTGTATTTCTTCGCATTATCAGATGTAGCTCCAACCTCGTCTTCATCTCCCTTTGAAGGCCACCCAGTTTCCGATATATGAACTGGGAGTTTCTTGTAACCTAAAGAAGCTAAAGCAGAGTAAACGGCGTCGATTTGAGCGTATAACATGTTGTCGTAATGTAAATTCGTGCCTGGATCGATAACTCCTTGGTTTGGCTGAAAAAGAACAAAATCCAACGGAATTTGCTTGGGATTTCCCTTATAAGCGAAGTAGGGATACGCATTGATCAAAAAAGGAGACCCAGTTTTTTGATGAAAACTCAAAGTTTCGCCTAAACAATCGATCAGATCTTCACGGAATGCTCCAGCTGAAGGCGGATACGACGTTTGGAGAATGGCTAAGGAATGTGCTGTCGTAACAGTCACTTGTTTGTCGAGTCCGAGGTTAACCAGTGCAGTGTGAACGCTTTGCATCGCCGGCAGAAGGTTGTCCGAGAGAGAAGTGTCGTTGAAAGTGAGAACCTCGTTTCCGACAAAGATGCAGGTGATTTTTGTGGCTGGCAAGTGGGCTTGAACGTTTTGTTGGACCCAAGCTTGGGCTTTGTTCGGATCTCGCATCTTGTCTAAGTACTCGTTGCCTAAGCCAACGATGAATTCGACGCCGGTGTTTGCGAATGCGCTAAGGACTCTTGGATCTGCATCGTAGAGTTTAACTTTTGTTGCTCCAATTGATTTTACTAGTGGCACTACGTTTTCTGGGGTTGGAAGATTGTTTGCTATTTGTCCATAGTTGATACCAACTGAATTAACCATAATTGGAAACAAACAAGCTGCAATAACCAAAAAAAAAAAAAAAGCAAACAAAATTAGCAAATCCATTCATTGCAAATCAATCCAAGTAGATAAAACTAGAGAGTTAGTTATCCGGTACCTGAAATTGAAAGAATAATTGAAGCATAGCAGAAGAATCTAAGGAACTCCATGAGAACAGAGCAGTAGGTAGAGTGAGTGAGTGAGTATGCAGGGCAAGATGGCTTATAAGCACAATTTTTATGGTAAAAGCTGTGAATGGACACGCAAATTTGGTCGCCAAAAGCGTTGAATAAGACAACCAAACAAGAAATTATTCAGGATTTTTTACTATCGATCCTACAACCTTAGAACGACAACTGTCATGAGCTAGTGCGAAAGTTGATAAGAGTAGTACAGCAACGAGTGAGCGAAAGTCCTAGCTCTCTCTCTCTCACGCACACAATTGTGCTATGTCGTCACGCAAACCTTGAAAGCAATGGGGCGCTTTGCTTAAAAGAAGGGAAACAAAAAAGAGGTCATTGTTAGAAAAGGACCTTTTTTGTTTAGCTGTAGTTTTCAGAGCCTGCGCCGAAATTCTAATAGCTTGATAGGAGGAGATTCTTGGAAGCGGCAGTTTTTATTGAGTATTGATTAAGATTTTTGGCGACGGTGATTAATCTTATCATTCGTTATCAAAGGTGAGGATTTGATTTATTATTTCATGAAGGATGACTGTGTCGTTGTTGTTTTTGTGGGGTAAAGGTTTCTTCTCCGACAATCTTCACATGGGTCGGCTTTCACTTTCTTTTAGGTATTATGAACAAAACTTTTTCACTTAAAATTCGTTTACGAAATTAGTATTTTATTGAGTGCTGTTAGCTTTACGAGAGTGATATATAAGAAGACGACAGAGAAACAGCGTTGGATACGTGGCATCGATGCAAAGCAAAGTGATTGGGAGATACTTTCAGTCGCGTTACTTTATTCGTCCCTGATGGGCTGATCTCTGCCGTTAAAATATTTTATTTTAATAAAGGGCCCATTCTTTTTCAATGTCATTTGCAGATGGGTTGGGTTAAGACGGGTATCGCCAGGGCTAGAAAATCAAAAATCAAATCGAGCGGTAGTATTTAATTCAGATTTTGTTATATTCAATTCAATTTCAACTCGAATTAGAAGATGTCTATTTGGTTTGGTTTTTAATTTATAATAAAAAATTAAAATTATTCAAATTAAATTATAATTTTTATTAATTTTTATAGAATCAAATATATTTTTATTTATAAATTTAAGTAAATAAATTAAAAATAATTTTAAATTCTGAAAAATGATAACCGAACTAATGGAATTTTAGTTGGAGTTTATTTCTCTATTTATTGGATTTGATTTTTGAAAAGATAAAATATTATTTGTTAACCGAATTATTTTTTAGAATCAAGCCGAATCAAATTGTTATCTACCTTAATTATAACATTAAGCATTTTTACATAATACTGTAGAAAGATTAAGCATCTAAACCCTTGTTTCTTTTGCTTAACACTAAGACTTTTAATCCATGAAACTAGAGACCAAAAGGTAAATAGAAGCCATTTAATTAATCTATGAAACTTGAAAATATAAAAGTTTTAAGATTGAGAAAAAGTTTTTAAGAAAAATGAATTCTTCAACTAAATTATTCTCAACTCTCAACTTTGCAGCCAATAAACCAAGCTATTGATAACAATCTTCATGATCAAAGCCTGAAATTAGTGTTTTTTAAGTGGTTTCCACTGTTGTGCATTTTCTGCCAAGAACAAAGGACATATATAACTCAAACTCAGCAGTACACTAATTAAATATCAAGCTCAAATATGATGCAAGCATTCACCTAAGAAAGGCACATTGATCAGAAGTTGAATCTTAATAAAAAGCAATGCCAGAGAAATTGGTTCACCATTTATTCAGTCTTGAGAACATCAACAGCCCCTGTTATTAGCTGCTACACCATATATATCTTTATACAATCTCCTAACTCTTCACCCTCAAAAATAGTATTGACTGCTGCAGGGCAGGGGAGTTTTTTTTCCACCGGTCAAACAGCAAATGGCTGTCCACTGTTGACTGGCGCTTGGTTGAATTAGAGGAAAAAGGTACTTAATTGGTTTTGCATTTGCTTACTCAAGTCAATACCAAGGAACATGCAAAATAATTGTTACTTCAGGCTCAGGGAGTGGCAATATTTTCCATGGCAAGAGGAGCAATCTCCTCTCCTTCAGTACCAGGTTCACTGCCAGCGACTCCTAGGCTCAACAACAACTTCTCCCACAACATTGATGGTCCCTACGTAAATCAACAAATTTCCAGTTCAACCCAAATGAACTAGAGAAACATTTAATTCGAATTCATTCTTCCTAATAAAGCTCAAATTTTGGTGCAACAACAATAAGCATGACAAGCTTCCTACTCGCTCTATGAGGTACTAACCTTCCATGAAAGATCTTGTGCCATACAAATCTGGATCATTTCTTTCAGGGCTTCATTGCCATATGTTGCAAGAGCTCTCTTGACAGTTGTTGCCACCTTATCTACATCACTTTTATCCACTACATCACACTGCAAAAACATACCATAGAGATTAATGATCTTCCCATATATAATAGGTAGAAAAGAAAAACATAAGTCATTCATTACACTTCACACTAAGACAATCATTTTTACTACTTACTTCAACACTAAAGGCTCCCATTTGGAACCCTGTGAATCCTTCTTTGACAGTGTCAACGAGTCCACCAGTAGAGGCAACTATTGGCACCTGTATAGCTCAGACAAATAGCATATGAGGTTAATAGATTCAGTATTATGAGAGCAAGATTAACATAACCTAGTGCTTATGCAAATTCATGAAGTCAATTCAGTTGGTTGCCGAAAAGGAATGGTCAAAAGCATTTACTGTTCCATATCGCATAGCATGCAGCTGAATGAGACCACATGGTTCAAATCTACTAGGGACCAAAATGTAATCAGCACCAGCAATAATCATATGAGCCAATGGGGCATTGAATTTGGCTACTCCTCTGGCCTTGTCAGGATGTTGGGTCTCTAGCTCCTGAATCTGCTTCTCCATGGCCTTTTTGCCAGTTCCCTGAAAGGAAAATAGATCCCATTATTTTCCTTTTCTGCAACACTAGCAACCACAGAAGGGAGGGGAAGCATTTTAAACTTTGACACTAACAAGGACTACAATCTGACAATTTTCTCCAATGAATTTTGGAATAGCTGCCGCCAAAATATCTGAACCTTTCTGCTCTTCTAGCCTACCAATGAAGCCAATCACTGGAACATCCCTGTCACAAGGCAACCCAACTTCTGCTTGAAGAGCTTCCTTTAATAATGGCTTTGCATCCATTACCTGCATTGGCACTTGTTACAGAACAAGTCTTCTAATTCCACAAACTACCAAGAAATTGGAAGTTATAGAAAGCACTTACAGTCGTTGCATCATAATTGACACTGATGTATTTGTCAGTGGCAGGATTCCATTCTTGAACATCCATGCCATTCACAATGCCTGTGATGCCAGTTTTACAAATGACATTATCAAGTTCAACACCTTTGTCATTGCCAGATACAAGCTCCTGCGCATAGTATGGGCTTACAGTCAAGACTCTATCTGATTCCAAAATTCCAGCCTTCATCCAATTAATTTTCCTTCCCTTGACAGGCTTTTCACACCTGACAAACAAAACCTTTAAGTCCTTGGCCAAAGAAAATACTCCATCAAAGCATTATCAAGCATAGATTCCTAGTAACAAGAAAAAACATCAGCAGCACTAATGGTTTCATACCCATCAAAGAAGTCAAATGAACTCTTGAAACGATCAGGCAAATTGAGAAGTGAGAAATCTGAAAAGGCAAATCTTCCCTGATAGGCTATGTTGTGGATGCAAAATGCAACCTGCCATATTTATCAAGCACAATGTAAGTTTCAATGTTCTGCATGCCCAAATTAACTAGAACCCTCATTCACTTCAACAAGAGGCCACCAACCATACCTTGGCATTCATGTAGATGCCCCTTGACTGGTACATGCTTTTCAAATAGCATGGGAGAAGAGCAGTGTGCCAATCATTGGCAATAAAGACAACATCCTCCTCTGCAGAAGATGGTGAAGCACATTAGCCTAAACCATTTCATGAAAAAACTGTTAAACTGTCAAGGTTAGGACTAAAGAGGAAGAGTCCATACCATATGGTCCTGAGAAAGATTTGCTGCTATTTAAATTCAGAACCCTAGGTGCCTCCAGGGCAGCCTGCAAACAAAAAGTTATACTAAATTAAATTGACTTATATAATGGAGACATAAAAAGTGCAACTTTGAGTTTGATCAAACCGCTAGGCCACAATTAGAAATCATGAACCGTCAGTAAGAAGGGCATTAATATGTAGTAAAATTTCAGTTACCATAGTTGTTGTCCAACAAGCAACAGTACAATTTGTAGAACAATACTAATTAATTTGCCTTTAGTTTATACACACAAAACATCTAATACTAGATGCCTTTGGAAGTTCAACACAAGAAAACCAGGCAGAAAGTTCAGCTTGTTTCTGTTTTCACAGCTAAACATCAAAGCTTTAACCGACAGCACACTGGCCAAAAAAAAAAAACTGACATCCCAGGAGTTTAAGCGGGATGTGATAAACTATGGTTCAACTTTTATAATTCTTGCAGCTACAGAGGAATTCTGTTTTATCTACCACGATCACCTAACCTTTTACACAAGCCAGCATTGCAGCTTTCAATTATTTCTATGAAGATGGTCACATAATTCTTTGAAAAAACAAGCTTCCCTTCTTTCAATTATTTTCAAGGTAAGCAAATAACTTGAAAGAGACGATATCATAGTCAGACTGAGGACCATTACAATTGTTACCTGGCAAAATAAGCTGAACCGCAATTGATTGTCTTTGTAGTCCACACCAGTCGTGGGACCATAGATTTTTGATCCCGTTTTGCCCCATACCTGAATCATCATCAGAATAGGAAAAAAAAAGAAACGGAAGAATAAAAGAAAACAGAATTAATTGAATCATTTATACAGGAACACTAAATCAAGGAAATGACAATTCCAAACCTTCTCAAGGAATATGGGGTGATCAACAAAAACACGATCAACAGCACGTTTGTAGCAGTGGAAGAACCGAACGGTCTCAAATTTGTCACCGACTTTTATCTGCATATTAGGAGCTGATCTTTAAGAATACAATCCAAACAGAACTCACTTAAATTGAATTTGCAGTATAAAAGGAAGAAAATATGATTTGTCCTGAATATTACAGGATCAGAATTCAGAAACCAGCTTACCTTAACTACTACATTGGTGTCCCATGCATCCTTGTACTGATCATAGCGAGGAGTCACAGTCATAACACGGTGTCCGTTGGCCTATTCAATGTTAAGCAATAGTGCTAAGTATCTCATACTTGATACTTCACAAGGCAAAATTAAGCCAAATTTTGCATATGAAGTGAAACACTATATAATACTCGTACCAGTTTTTAGATAGAAAAAGAACTGGGTTGGGTCATGATTCAACGCACTATTGCTCATAAATATTTTTTACTTACAGCCATTGCGGGAGGAAGTCCACCAAGGACATCACCAAGTCCACCAGTTTTGCTCCATGGACCAACCTCAGCTCCCACAAAAACTAGGTTCATCCCAGTTCCGCAAATAATTTTCCAGGAAGGCTTGTGATTTGCAGTGGGGTGTCCCTCTTTCACAGCTTTCCTGGCCCCAGCCTTTGCGTTGGTTCTCATCTGCAACCTATCTACCTTGTTCAAAGACCTCAAACCGTTGTGAGTCATGGCTTGATTCCTCATGCCAATCTGTGTAAAATTGACTTTAGTTTCTGCTCCACGGCCGTTCACATTTGAACTTTTTGAAACAAAGTGTGAGGCTATCACTGTTGCCATTGCTCGGATACTTGCAAGTAGTAAGAAGCTGAGAATGAACTAAGCAATTTAACCCAAGTCCCAAAACCTTTTAACTAACAAAAAAAAACAAAGAAATTTTTATTACGTAAAAAAAAAAAACGAAACAACAACTCGAAAATGTCTCAAATTTGAATCGTACAATGATCAAATAAACAGAAACTTGCGTAACTGATTCAGTGAATCTCTCAATATCAGTTAGCAAATCCATGCACAGAAACTTCAAGTGTCTCAGATCCTATATTGAAAGCAAGCCACGTCGTTGAGTTTGGTTCGGACTACGTAGGGAGATGAGTTGAAGTGGTCACTTATAATTTCAGTAGTTTCGCCGAGGATCGCCAATTTGTAGTGATTGACCCCGCCATAACACGTGGCTTTACAAAAATTGTTGAGTCTCCACTGTAAAAGCATGAGAAACAAGATCCACTAGTTGTAAAAAATTACAAACATACATCATATCATCAATCCCACTCAACAATCAATACTCATAAGACATTCTCAATCTCCTCTAGTCCTATGAAGTATTCTCTACCCAAACAAACACAAACCCAAACTCTTGTGCACCTTTTCAAGACAATCAAATACATACCCATATGTTCCCATACATCATACCTATATGGACCCTCTCAATCTTTTCTAGTCCATTCACAAACAAACATACACATCCATAAGACGTAGAGTCCCAATACTCCTATGGGGTGTCTATCCCACAAAATCCTACAACTCTCTTACATCTTTTTCTCATACCTAACCCTGTAGAGACTTCACCTATTTATAACCATACAAACTTGCCCATTAAGAATCTCTCTCCTCTTAGAATTATTCCTTTCAATCTCTTCTAGTCCACTCACAAACAAACATACACACCCATAAGACGTAGAGCCCCAATACTCCTATGAGGTGTCTATCCCACAAAACATTCACGGAACTTGAGAAAACGGAGATAGAATCAGACCGATTCACGGAACTTGAGAAGCGGATGAATAATTATCTGCTTCCGGAAGAAATCGAAGAATTTCTTGGGAATCCTACAAGATCCATTCCTTCTTTTTTCTCTGATATATGGTCAGAACTTTATCTGGGTTCGAGGTCCACTAGAGATCAGAAATTGTTGAAGAAAGAACAAGATGTTTCTTTTGTCCCTTCCAGGCGGTCGGAAAATAAAGAAATAGTTAATATATTCAAGATAATTACGTATTTACAAAATACCGTCTCAATTCATCCTATTTCATCAGATCCGGGATGTGATATGGTTCCGAAGGATGAACTGGGCAGTTCTAATAAGATTTCATTCTTGAACAAAAATCCATTTTTTGATTTATTTCATCTATTCCATGACCAGAACAGGGGGGGATACACGTTACACCACGATTTTGAATCAGAAGAGAGATTTCAAGAAATGGCAGATCTATTCACTCTAACTCTCTTACATCTTTTTCTCATACCTAACCCTGTAGAGACTTCACCTATTTATAACCATACAAACTTGCCCATTAAGAATCCCTCTCCTCTTAGAATTCTTTTCCTGTAAGTCAAACTTGCCTATTAAGAATCCCTTTCCTTTTAGAATTCTTCTCTTGCAAGTCAAACTTACCTATTAAGGATCCTCTTTCTCTTGAAATTCTTCATTTGCAAGTCTTCTTGTCCATCAAGCAATATCTGACAAATCTCAAACAAATCTCTTATAAGATTTGAGTCAATATTTCCAACAATCTCCACCTTGACTCAAATTTCATCAATCATCTGTCTTCATGCTAGACATCATCTTCTCTTCTCTTGTGTCTTCACGCTTCATACAAACTAATCATCAATCTTCAAAACTTAAACTCGAACTCTTCTCTCGAATCGAGCTCTTCTGAACTTGCTTCTTCCCATGTCTCAAACCATGCGCTTTTCATATCTCGAACTGTCAACTCTTCCATGTCTCGAACCATCAACTCTTCCACATCTTGAATCTTCAACTCTTCTCACGTTTCGAACCTTCAGCTTTTAGATACCACTTGTTGGGGAACACCACAGCTCTGATTACCACTTATTGGGGAATACCACAGCTCTGATACCATTGTTTGGGGATCACCACAGCTCTGATACCATTTGTTGGGCTAAAAACCTCCAATCCAATCACACACAGTGGAAGCAAAAATCAAACAATAAATTAAACACACAAGAGACAATAATTTAACGTGATTCGATCCAACTGACCTACATCTACGGATGAGAAACAAGATCCACTAGTTGTAGAGAATTACAAACATACATCATATCATCAACTCACTCAACAATCAATACTAATAAGACACTCTCAATCTCTTCTAGTCCTATGAAGTATTCTCTACCCAAACAAACACAAACCCAAACTCTTTGTGCACCTTTTCAACACAACCAAACACATACCCATATGTTCCCATACATCACTATTAGATCTCTTGTCCACTCAAAACAAGTACAGGTGGTAGGTCCGGCTAGAATATAATAATCTTGTGAACTTCACTTATTTAAATCATAAACTTGCTGTCCTTTCCTCAAATTCTTCTCCTGTAAGTCAAAACCTATTAGAATTCTTTTTAGAATTTCTCCGAAGATTACCCTTAAGATCTCTTCTCATGAATTGCAAGTCTTTTGTCTATGCAATTCAAAATCTCAACATTCTCTTATTTTATAGGCCATTCTTCGGTCTTCTAATCAGCTTTAGAGTTAGATTTTATGAATGTAATCTTTTTCAGCCATATAAAAAAAAAAATAAATGTAGACTAAGAAATTTAAAAGAAAATGTGAGCTTAAAGAGAGATTTTTTCTTTTTCTTTTATTGTGTTCACGTTGAATAGAAGGTCTACGGAAATGCTGTATTTCTGCTCTACTTTTATCATGGAGGCCGGAGGATGAAGATGATGTGAGAGCCACTGTGGAAGCAGCAAGCACAGTCGCAACAAGAGGTCCAGATTCCTTCATTTTCTGATTCCTTTCTATTTCTGCAATTAACACTCAGATTGAGGGAGTTTTCTTTCGAAGCTCCGATTAGAAATGAGCGAAATCCGACGAACCTTGCCGGATGCCGAACACCTGCTTTCTCTTTTTCTTTTCTCTCGATTTCCGTAAATTCATTTTATCTTCCCTCGTGGCTGGACGATTTATATTTTCTGCATTTGCCAAAGCTTCTGCGCTTCTTCAATTAATGGAATTTAAATTTACTCGAGTCCGATTTTCTTTTCTGAGAAAAAAATCCTATGTGGCATTGTAGTCTGTAGCGTCACTGCTCCACGACATCCCCAAGTCCCTCTAGCCGGTAGGAAAAGGCCGCGTGTACTTGGCCTGTCAGCGCGGTATGACGAGAGCGACGGCAGCCAATGATACATTTTTATGGTGGCCCGGATCCTACAAATTTACATTTTAATTAGAATTTAATTCTTTTCTTTATTTTATATTTTTTAATTGTTAAAAATTAATTAATTAAGTTTCAAAATATTTATCATATATTAATTTTATAAAAAAAATTAATTTTAATATACTTAATATTAATTTTAAAATTTTTTTATAAATTAAAATTTCATAATATTTAATATCAAAAAGTAAAAAAAATTTATAAAAATAATTTTCAAATATAAAAATATAAGAATTTTGATATTAAAAAAAAAACATAATTTAAGATACTTGAAAAAAAAGAAAGCGAATAATTTAATAATTTATTTTTTTATGATTTTTTTTTTTTTTTATCAAAATGAAACAGATAGATAGGTACCGGACTCTAGAGAGGGCGCAGGGCAGGGTCGCGTTTTTGAAAAATGGGTGATGGTGTTTGCTTAAGCTCGATGCCATTCGAGTCGGAGTCTGTCAGTCCACGAGCGTTGATTCTGCATGGAGTCCATGTTCTATGGGCTTACAATTTTAGAAACATCTAAAGCATAAATGAAACACTTCCGTGTAGAAAACCTTATGGGCCAAGGGTTCATTCGGCGAGTAATTATTGTTTAAAAATTATTAGGTAAAAATATTTTAAAATCATTAAATTATTTTATTTTTAAATAAATTTTTATAGTTTTATTATATTAAAATAAATTATTATATTTTGATTTGTATCTAAATAAACTTTCATTTCAAATAAAAAATTATTTATGTTAAAAGTTAATTTAGTTACAAATTAAAAATTTAAGAATTTATTTAAATACAAATTAAAAATTTATTTGGACGCAAATTAAATATTAAAAATTTATTTAAATATAATAAAAATATAATGATTTATCTAAATAAAGTTATAAAATTCAAGAATTTTTATTATTTTAACCAAAATTATTTAACCTAGAATTTTGAGCTTTTAGATTTAAGTTTTATTGTGCATAAATTTGGTCAACTTTATGTTAAATTTATTTAGTTATATTATAATTTATTAATTAATTATTCAGTAATTTTTATAAATATAAATACTTGATTATAATTATAATTTCTCTTGTACTTATAATTTAAAAAAAAGTAATAAAAAATTTATAATTTTATTTAAAGATGAATAATATATTAAAATTGTAATAATTTTAAATTAAATAAAATTTAATTTAAAAAATAATTTTAATAAATATTAATCTTAAATTTAATTGAAAATATATTATTTATCATTGGATAAAATAAGAAAAACTTTCATTTTTTTAAATCGTCCCATCGGCCAAGTCTCTGGAAAAAAATATATCTTTGGAATTTTGATAACTAATTAGATTAAACGAGATTAAATGATAAAGATAAAAATTTAAATTTTGTGTTAATATTCTAAATTAACAAATGGTGTGCATTCTGATAAAACAAATAAATATTCATGAATTTGTTACTAGCCAGTACAATTCTATCAAACTATCCAACTATTTGTAATGCCTAAAAAATCATTTTCATGGAGGAAAAGATAAGGCTAGAGGAAACTGAAAAAGAAGTCGGAGACAAAGTCAATTGAGACTCTTTGAAAGCTCTTCCAACGTTGAGCTAGTTAAAGAAGGTTGCCAGTTGTAGGTTCGGTTTGCGGATTCAGTTAACCAAGGAGATCCCAGGTCCCACTAAGAGCCTACTTACACGCTATTGAAGGAAGGAGCATCCATGCGAAAGAAGTCCTAATCCTACTAAAAGAAGAAGAAGAAATAAATAATGAAACAACTTGGCAGCCAAGGCCAATTTTCCCTATCTTTCATACTTAAACAAGCCCTGATTCCTCTCTATATATAAATATAAGCCTTCGTTTCTCAACAATCGAACATCTTCAACAAAACTTAAAACCTCTTCCAGGTTGTCCGCAATCCATCAAAAATTAGCAGAAAAATAAAAAGGCTTTTTTGGGATTTCTTAGTGAATCGTCATCATGAACTCAATCTTCAGTTCCTTTGATGCTTTATGTGCTGAGTTCTTGGGACAGGCAGTCAGGCCCTCCTTTCCTTGTACAAAAAATAAAGATGGTACCAGCTTCCTCCTTAGTAGCCGAGGGTTACGAATAAGATGACTGAAAACATGAAGAAAAAGCAAGAAGGAAACGTTGAGAAGAAGCAACAGCGGGCTCCCCGATTTGCATCAGAGCTGGACGGGCTTAACTGCTTTGACACCCTTGTTTCCTACTAGTGGCATTCAGGCGCTTCTGTTACGTTGGGATTGAATTAATACAAGTTGGAGTCTGAAACAGGGAAGTTTTTTTGTAAGTACTAACTAATTCATACTGTGAATGTACAAATTTGGGACTTTAGTTGATTAATTGATAATCTTTAATTATATTCATACCGGAAATCGGCTTTGATATGATCGAACAAAATTGACTTATTCCTTTGCCCCGTTTGGGCTCAAATTCGACCGATCTTTACATGGATTAGCAGTAATGGCAAACAACAATTTTGGACGAAATTCATTATCTTTCTGCTTACTTGCCGATCGTACCACTCCCAGCAAAAAAAAAAGGTAAAAAAAGAGAAATCGAATTATACCTCAACGCTTTCCCAAATCAACATGGAGAAAGATAATTGGAGACCAAACGAGGAATAACAATTGAGAATCTCCTTACTTTTTGAGATTTCTGTTGATCTCCCTTACAGAGGAATTGTCGCGTATAGATAAACTTGAGCGATGGGCAACAACCTTCTTTGTGCCTTTGAGGTTCAAAAGCAAGCAGAAAAACAAGGGTAAAATGAGAACGGCCTGGAAATAAGCTTGACGATTGGCATCTGAAAACTCTTCCAAAATTGCATATAAGCATTGCGGTTGAGTATATTCAGAAGCCTCTGAAGGGTCCTACACTCTTACAATCATCATTTCATCACGATCTTGAAGAAATAAACAGCTGAAAAAGTTTGCCGGCAAACTTGAGAAAAATGCTACCCGAGTGATTTAGGATGGCTATGCAACGTGCAGATGCTAGCATGCTAGTTTATTTGATCAATTTGCTGATGCTTATGTTTAGTATCTAGTTGTCAGTTCATCATGTAACTGTTTTAACTTCTTTTTTTTTTATATCTTTTAAATGACAGGCACAGAGCTGCTAGGCTAGTCCCGGTGGCTCACAGCATTAAGTTTTACTTACACGAGGATCACTGGTTATGCTTTTAAGCTACCGTAGTGTACTAGTAGCACTAGTAGTATAATGAATCTGTCTATTACTTAGACATTTGAGCATTTTTCTTCTGGTGAGATTTGATCTGTCTTTTTTGTTGATGCATAAACGTTGAAGACGAGAAAAGATTAGCCATTTCAAGATCAATACATGCCTATGTCTCTTTTGAAAACATATATTGGACTTAAAAAATATAAGTATTGCTGATAATAAAAATCAAACCTGTTGACTTTGCTCAGTCCTACCACCCCACTTTGATTTTCATAATTTCATTCAATGATTTTGTGTAAAATCCCTATTTATCATCGAATGCCAGGCTCAGCACATAACACGGGTAGGGAAACCCATCACTGAATAGTCCAGTTCTACCAACGGTTCAATTATAAACGAATGTGTTAGTTTACCAAAGGTACAAACAAGACAATCTTAATTCATTAGTAATAAAGATTTACCAGCTTGCAAGAACGCCTACAAATATTTTCATCACACCAACATGATATTATATAAAAAAATTATATTTTAATTATTTATTTAATTATTTATTTATATATATTTATATAATAGTATTTTTAAATATTTATATTTTAAAATAATATTTTATTAATTTTAATTTGAGTTAGGTTGAGTACGATTTATATAATATCGGATCGAAATCGAATATGAAAAATTAAAAAAAAATTCAAATAAAATTAAATTTGAATTTGATAACACATAAAATTGGATCGGATTCGGGACGAGTAAAATTCACCCCGAACCCGACTCGGTCGGAACCAACTCTAATGCCAACCTAACATAATCCATGGCACCTAATGGATGGATAAATATCATCCACTCAGTAGTCATAAGACATAACTAATCTCCGATGGAAGAAAGAATGGTTTGTCTTTTTCATCATTAGCTTTCCTTAAGGATATGGCAAGCTACTTATGTAAATCATTATCAAGCGTTTCACCTTGCATTCCATGCTTCCAGAAAATATTTTTGCGGGCTATAATCAAGCGAGAAAAAAAAATTAAGATAAATAAGCAATTGAACAAGGAAACTCGATTTCTGTTATTTTTGCAGCATGAGATTCTTTGTTGACATGGCCTTCTAAAAAGATTCAACTATCTGATCTTTATTTCGACGGGTCTGAAGTTGAATGATGGCCCAGACATGGAAAAAATAATAATAATACAACCTTCAATCTTCGATCCTTTAAAAGCAGGCAAGTGAGAAGCTTCATCCATGGATAACGTCTCACTTCATTGTAGCGGCAATTTGCATCCTTGAAATGAGGACAAAAATATTAGGGTAAATTATATAAATATTATGTAAATTTTAATATGATTTGAGTTTATCTCTTAATATTTAAAAACTAATATTTAACCACCTTAAAACTGTATATTAGTGATATTTTGTTAATTTTCATTAACGCACTTAATCAATAAATCTTAACTCTTTCGTCAAAAAAAAAAATCGAAAGTATGAATTTTCACAATATTTAATAAGGAATCAAATATTGAAAAAATATACTATTATGATGTGTACATTCCGTTGATCTTCTCCTTCTTTTCTTTTCGTTTTTGTTTTAAAAATTTAAAAATTTTCAAAAAAATTCAAACCAAAACCAAAAAAAATAATCATTTTTGATGAATTGTTGTGACTATTACGTAGATTTATGATTATTTTGTAAATTTACTGTATGTGAATAATTCATGATAGATTCAAATTTTGTGAGGTTTTCTTATGGGTATTGGGTTTGTTGATGTTGTACTTAGGAAATTGATATGGCTACCAATGAAAATTTGTTGTTTGTTTAATACTTTATACAATTCTTAAAGCAAAAATTTCATTCTAAAAAAATACAAAATCTAATATTTGCATGCAAACAGTTAAGCAAAAAAATTTAAAATTTCGACCAAAAATAATCAACACAACCAAAAAAACATCATTAAAAGGAACATCTAAGAGCAAAATCAAAATTTTGGATCTTGGTTTGAAATTACTTTTTTTGGATTTGTGAAGAAGAGTTTTTGGATGGTTTTGGATTTAGTTGTTTAGAGAGAGAATTCATCTGTTTTTAAAGGGAGAATATTAATTGTAGAGAGAGAAAATAAATTTAAGATGAAAAAGATAAAAAAAATTTAAAAAAGGGAAATATATATATATATATATGTATATATGTAATTTACCCAAAATATTATGATTTACAACCTCCTTCCAATTTTAGCAAACCTTCGGGCTATGCCAAATATAGCGGCTTTGGTCAAGAGCCCTCGATCCAGAGTACAAGCAAGGGCAATAGCCCCACCAACAACTAAAAGTTTGGGAATGTTGTTCCCCAACGGTTTCTCAGATGAAGTACGTGTTTCAAACTCTGATGAATCATTACTCTTGCTTTTCAAGGATCTCAGGTACGGTTTCCCAGATGATTTGTGTGTTTCAAGCTCTGATGAATCATTACTGTTGCTTTCCAAAGATCTCAGGTAGTCTGCACTTACTTTAGAGTTTATCTGAGCCATGAAAGCACAACGGGATAGGGCCACTCTGGATGCTCTCTCCTTCTGATAAGCACGTAAGCCAGGGTCAATCTTCTTGACGGTTCCCCACATACCTTGCCTGACTCCAAGCTTTGCAATTGTCCATGGTATACCCATATCTTCATGATGAAAAAGTAGCACCTCACATGCAGTCAGCTGACCATCTCCTTTCCTTGATTCAACTGTTTGAAATGAAGTTCGTACAAATCATTGGCCGGAATTTACATTACAGTGTGTTCGAGACTTGAACGAAACATAAATAGTCTATGACATTCCTAGGAAAAGTTATCTCTCTTTTCTTTATGCTTGGTACCAAACTTAAACCAATTTTCTCATATTCTAGGAAAATGGAAGTTTCCAACTTCCTAACAGCACAGGGAAAAAAGAAAAATAATTTAAAACTAAAATACATGATGTGAACTCCAATACCTGCACGGATACACCAACTTGAATAGTATAAATCAACGCGCCTAGGACTGTTTTTTCTTGGCACAGAGGCATATGGTACTCCCTGAAATGTGAAGACACATGCTAAGAAGTTAACTTATGCACTTCAAAAACTAGACAAAACAGAGTTGGACAACATGATGCTGCCATGGCATGAAGTGTTATAGTCATCTGACTAGACTCAGTTGAATTGAGCCATAAAATTCATAAAAGAAAGTAAATTCATCCAAGCAATTATCAGATTAATGCAACTCAAAGCTTAGGAAACAATCTCACAAAATTTCTTTCACTAATGAGGTTAGAAACATGTTCATTTTTCATTGCCAAACATAAAAATCTTAAAAACGAAAAAGGTGCAGATAGATATGCACACTAGTATATGATCTAAACATTGGTGGCAACCAAGTTATTTCTCATTATAAATGCGTAAGAACAGAATAACATTGGGGGCTGATCCCCTAGCCTGGAGAGCAAAAATAGGAATGGCTTGTTAACTTCTGGACTTTCTAATCATAGCTGAAAACCACAGAATGGAATAAGCAGCTTACCTTAGTAACACAGTAATAGGATTGCCCAGACTCCCAAATCCGACGACCTATCACATATTCTCTGTCGCTACAGAAGACGGGAAACTGTAAAAAGAAAAAAAAAGTACATTTGAGAAAATATAGTTACACTACAATGAAAATTAACCAAAACAAGAAATCGAAAATTAACCAAAACAAGAAATCCATAGAAATTCTTTGTGAACCTTGCGAACCCAGTGGACCACCATTGTCCCTGTGCTGGGGCACTCCTCCATGGTTGCAGCACAAACAAGCATGTCATCCCACTTCGGTCGAAATTCATCATCCCAAAAGAAATCCCTCACCATCTCAGGGGTAGCATCCTCAAAAACAGTCCGATGACGATATTGTGGAGGACCAGTCTAAAGAACAATAAAAGCATAATTCGATCAATCAAATGAATTACAGAGTAGATGCAAAACAAATATAAACAATCTTACATAGAGCACAGAACCAACTAGTCATTTGTAAATTAGTTTTGATTTTACTGGTTCTAATATATTTTGTATACAAGGAAAAACATACCTCAGGATCTCTTAGCCAAGCCTGATAGCCCATAGTTGGCGTAGAGCGATCCATCATCTGAATCCAAGCAGGACCTCCATCTTTTTCTTCAACTAATTTATACAAATGCTCTAAATCCTCATCTGTCACAAAACCGGTTTGTTCCTTCCCAATCTGTGATGAACTGCCCAATTACAAAAATATTAGCTATTAGCAAAATCAAATACAATCCCAATTCCCATTATACTTCCATCTCATATACCATTTACAACTACAAATAACATAGTCCCCAAACTAACTTTTTAAAACCATTCAGTTTGAGTAAATTTTCAGCTCTCAACTTCACCGTTTTCAATCCCAATCGTTATCCAATAAAAAAAAGCAATTTTTTTTTTGGAAAAAAAAAAAAGAGATAACAAGTGATAAAGTTGCAAACCTGCAATTGGAATCAAGGGTAGGTGGCAAAGAAAAAGAATCCTTTTGAGTTCCATCATCTGTAATCGAAGAGATGCAACTCGGCAACTGAAACTTGATCAAATTCAAGCTTGAAATAGAACCAAGACCAGCAGAAGCATACTCTGAAGATGCGGGAGTTGAATCTCTGCCTAAATTTGCCCACTTTGGCTTCCAAGCCCATCCAACAAAAACCCCAACAATCACAGCAACCCATAAAGGAGCTATAAACATCATTAACTCGCTCAACACATCCCCAAGTGTGGGTTTTCTTAAAATCTCCATAAAAACTGAAACCAAGCCCATCTCAAAAAAGAACAACCGTCGATGGAATCGAAAGAGTAAGCTTTAAGCGCAGAGATTACTCGAGGGTTTGTTTAAAGAGATGAAAAAAAACCCTAAAACCAGACCAAAGAAAACCACAGAATTTAAGCTGAGAGGGATTTCAAAAAAAAAAAACAAGAGGGATGAAGAATCAGAGAAGAAGAAATGATTAGATTGAAGACATAAAGATATGGGAATTGCAGAGGAGAAACAAGACAAGAGGTTATGTAGAGATCACGGATAAGGATTTCGTGCAAAGGTAGAGAGGCGTGTTCTCTGGATTTACCGGACGCCCATAAAAGAAACAAGATCAGACTACTACTACTACTATAATTTATTTATTTTGATATTTTCCGGGACAAGCTAAAGCCAATTACTATTGCTATAACAATATTCTTACATATTAAAGATTTTATTTACTTTTCTACTACGATCCTTCTTCTTTAATCTTGTTTCGACCGAGGTGTTTCTGAACTTTGGCTAATGCCTAGAGACAAATAGGAAAAGAATCAGCAAATATTGGGTAAACGAATGGGCAAAAAGGGATAAAACTGCGTTCTAGTTTGTTGATGGATGAGTTGATTCGGCTGGTGATGCTCTCTTGTTGATGAGTCATGTGATTTTGTTCTCTCTATTTATTGGCTTAAAACTCGGGCATCTCTTGTCTTTTGATATGACGACAAGTTGGTGGTCACCGCGTTCCTCGTTTTTCACATTTGCTAGCTGAGCTGCCACTTCTTTTCTTTGTCTTTTCTACGGTCCAACACTCGGTTTTACTTTTTACTTTTTCAACATTATAATATAGTTAGTATTATTTTTACTTTGTATGTATTTTGTGATTATTCCTTTTATTTTTATGTATACTAATTTTTTATATATTTGAAATGATTAGAATATAAATTTTGATTAATGAAATTATAAATTTAATATTTTATTAACAGTTCTTGTGATTTTATTTATATAATTATTAATATAATAATAATTATAATAAAATATTATATCTATAAATAATATTTTTTCATTTTAAAGTTGGGAGGAAAATGATTTTTTACATAAAGAAGAAGAATTCTTAACCCATTTTTTAATAAAAATTATATATTAATTAACAATATTAAATATTCAAATGCATAAAAAAATTAAAATATAAGAAATAAACTCAAATATACATAAGCCCAAACAACTTTTTAAGTCCTGCCATAATTTTTTTTTAGCAAAAAAAACATAAATTAAAAATAAATCATTAAACAATTCATGTAAGTAGTTTTAAAATGAGATATTTGGTTCAAATTTGTGTTACTAAAACTTAAAACAAAGAAATTCGAACCTAAAGGAAAATGAGAACATATTTTTATATTAGTAGTAAGTTTGTAGCCACCGACAATGGACATGAAAGGGCTAAACTTTCAAGGGAAAGTTTGGTAAACCCTTTAATTTGATTCATTTATGTCAACACTATCCCATTTGAATAAAAAAAAAATTGACTTCGATACTTGAACTAATCAATTGAACACGGATTAAAGTGTTGCCAATTTCTGACCGACCATCAACCCAAAAAAATTAAAAAAAAAATAATAACAATAAAGACTTCCGATGGTTTGGTTTAACTTGGTCATTATGACTTGTTTTTGGTCGATTGGTTGAGTTTTGAACGAAAAAAGAAGGTTTCAACTTTCAACAAAATTGAGTTGAAACTTTCTAATAAATGAATTAAGCAAGTTACTTAATCATGCTTTTACATATTTTATAATATGTTTTTGAGTAGTTGGGGCATGGAAGGGAAAGATATTTGAACTTGCTTTAGGCCTTTGTTCTCTTAACAATATTTTTTTTCCTTTACTAGATGTTGGAGTGAAATTTGGGTAAAAATCCAAATTATAGTACCTTCTATTGTATAGGAAAAACAATCACCTCTTTCTTTCTTATTGTTTTAATTCTTAGTTTTTTTTTTATCAAGACTTTTTCAGCTTTAAGCAGCACTCATTTTACAAGATTTCTCATGAAAAAATCCTAATTTGTTAAGCTGTTGAATATGGTTTGAACCTTGGGAAATCTCAAAATTATGATCGAATTTCAATTTTATTGGATTCATCTCTTAAAAAGATAAAGAAATAAAAACATATCACTTATAATTATTACATTTTAATTAATCAATTATAATACAAAATTATATGAATTTTGTTAAAAGTTTATATAAAACTCACACTTATAAATGATAAACTCTTATATAATTTTTTATTATAATTTGGATTTATATAATGTTATGTATTAATTTTTTAAATATATCTATCAAAATAAATGGATGGTCCCTCAAAATAATATAATTGTCTCCCATTTTTTTTATTTTAAAGATTTAATTTATTAAATCTTTTTAAAATTTTAGGAGCATTATTTTTTCAAATTTAAACTTTGTCTTTTCTAAAATAAAAAGAATAGTATAAATGAATATACATGTAAAGTGTGAAGTTTTTTTTTTAATAAAATAATTTACTCATAATGTTATTAAATAATGTAAACACTTGTATTTAGTATCATATTTTTAGTGATTCTTATAATTCCATAAAAATATAAATAGGAGGCTTTAATTTAATTTCTTGTATTTTAATAAGTTATTAATTTTAATTTTATGATAATTTTACGTACCAACAAATTTGTATGATAAATGTTCATATAAAATATCATTAAAACAAAAACTCTTATTATATGTTTCAAATATATATTAAGAATTTTGATCATTGATGTCTCAATTTTATGTACTTAAGTAAATTAATTAAATATATATGTGCATGTACGTATGAATATAAATATGTGTATACATATATATTTATATTTGTATATGTACATGTATTTCACTTGACCCGCTTTATATAAAATTTTAACTCAGTCATTGATTATAATAAAAAAATTTATAGGTGAAATGCATCACGAACGAACCATTTAAATTAAATTCTAGATGCTTAGGTGATATTTTAATAAGATTACATAACCGTTTAATAACAAGCTTGCGGTTTTTATACAAAGTTTATATAAAAAATATTGATTTAAAATTATCCAAAAATACCTTTCCAAGAAAAAAAAATCCAAAAAAACTAGTAATAGCTCCCTAATCATATATATATATATAAATGCCAAAACTCTTGATAAAAAAGAAAATAGTCCAATGTGGATAACTTACATTTTTTACATGTGAATGGGTTTAAAAATCACCATTTATTCTCTAATAAATGCATTTTATTTATTTAAAACAGTTTTATTATTTTTTATAGTAACATTTTTATTACTTAAAAAATAATTAGATACACTAAATTAATTACATTTATTACCTTTTAAATATCCAATATTTTTACCTTATATGAATAAGTTAACATAAAATTTTGTCAATAATACAAATAAAAATAAAAATTAAATGAAAAATTAATTACTCATGAATATATTTCCATATTTTCTAATTACTTATTAAAAATTAAATGAAATTTAATATAGTAGATAAAGAAAGAGAAATTAGCCATATAACGGGTTGATAATAATATCACTAAATTATGGAAGATTTTGTTTTGTTTTTTTTTTAAATACAGATTAGGCAAGAATTCAAATTTTGTAATTTTGAAAAAAAATCACATTAATTCTATGTATTTTATTGCTTTTATATTATATGATTAATAATAGTAACTCTTTAATATATTTACGATAATATATTTTGATAGTAATATAAATACAAATATTCTTTGAAAAATAATTTTAAATAAATTGAATTTGATTATTTTTTAACTTTGTTTTTCTGCAATTTTGTCACCATTTTCTTAGAAAAAATTTATTTTGTAATCTTGCTTGCTATTCTTTTGTAAATTTATCAAGGTTTTACTCATTTTTGTTTGTGCAATTATTATGTTTTATTTTTAGAATAGCAATTTTATCAACTATATATTTTAGTATAATTTTTTCTTTAATAATATTATATAAATATATAAAAACTAAAGTTTTTAATAAAAATGGAAATAGTCCAATGTGGATAGCTTACATTTTTTTACATATGGATGGATTTAAAAAATCATCATGTGTTCTTTAATAAATGCATTTTATTTATTTAATACTTTTTTATTATATTTTATAGTAACATTTTTATTACTTAAAAAATAATTAGTTACACTAAATTAATTACATTTATTATCTTTTAAATATTCAATATTTTTACCTTATATGAATAAGTTAAGATTAATTTTGTCAATAATACAAATAAAAATAGAAACTAAATAAAAGCTAATTACTCATTAATATATTTCCATATATTCCAATTACTAATGAAAAATTAAATAAATTTAATGTGATAAATAAGGATGACCACTAGAATTAACTTGCTTTACAAAATCAACTAGAATTTTGTATCCGTCTTTTACATAGTTGACTATAACATGTTTGAGGCTTTCTCTTGCTAAAGAAATCTTAGCCAACATATTGTTATATTTGCTAACAATTATCCACCTTCACCTTTGCATCAAAGTAAAAAACTTTACATCAAGAGTACACACATCCTACCTAGTTAGTGTTATTCCTATCACCTACAAACTTTACTAACTATTTTATTTTAACTTAAAATTTCAAACTTTTATTGGTATTTTCTTAGTTGCCATTTCCCTTAATCAATTATTGTTATATCTTATTTGATTCATATAATGCATGTTTGTGAGTACATTTATACAATACAATGATTTTCCTTACTTTATTTAAATACATAGTTTTTTTTTTATATTAAATTCTGTTGATCGATTGAAATGCTATTGTTCATTATATTACATAAATATTTATTTTGATTTATTAATTTCTTTATTTTAGAATCAATTAACAAATCCAATTTTTAATGTATTAACAATTTTCCCGCCTTATTTTTTTAATAATTTTGTTTCAAGTCTTTTATGGTATTGATAAATTTAGTTATTCCCCAACATAAGTTTTTTATGATGATTATTTTATTAAGGATGCAATTATTTTTTATGCATTTTCTTTTAATCAATTTTTAACTTCAAAATTTTAATAAAAATTCAACTAATAAAGAAAATAATATTGGATTGTAAATTTTCAATTTTAAACTCCAACTGCATGGTTAATAAAGGTACCTCATAAAAGTACGAGTGTTTGCATTTATTAACATATGTGGGTTTTTTTTTTGAATGAAAAAATGACATAAATTTTCAAGAATAAAAAAGTTTATAACATTTATTTTTTTTTCCTGAAAAAATTTAATGGTAAAACGCCATTTAAAAATTTTTCTATAATTCTTTTTTATTAATAGATTTTTTTTCTTCATTACATAGAATTTTTATGAAGTTGAATTTCATAATAGCTTTTTAGTGTGATTAAATTATTGTTACACTTTAATTGTTCAACTATTTATTTTTTATTTTTCTTTAATTAGTTAAATTATAGCATTGATAATTAGTAAACTTTTATTAGATTTATTTATTTTTTTGGTTATAAAAAATTTAAAGTTATTGTTTAACATGTATGCAATTTAATTTTTCTCAAACTCTTTTTATATTGTTATCTTTGTTTTATTTTAAAAAATTATTATAAATTGAAATTGTCATCAAATGTATTGCACATACTTAAATCTAGTATTATATTATAGTTATTAGTTAATATTTACTGATATAGATGCTTATGTGAATAGTTTCTCTTTTTGACGTATAAAAAAATTCTTAAAATTTTTTTTTATAATAACACATAAGATATTTTTTAATTTTAAACTATTTAAAAATATATATTTTAAAAATTATTGAATTATCCAAAAGATTCAAAATTTAAATGAAAAACCAATTTAAATTCAAAATAATTAAATAGATAAAATTATTATTTTTTGGTAAGATTTTTATTTAAATAAGTAAAATTAATTCTTATTTTTTATTTATGGATTAAATAAATGTATTTAAAAAATCATTGGTTATCCAAATCTTTTTAAGATATATATATTTGAAAAATTTTAATTATTCAAAGTTTTTCTTTCAACAAAAAAAAAAAAAAACCATCTTTATCTATCATATATGCTTTTAAATATATCTTAAATGTTGTATTACAAGTAAAAATTATAAATACAGTCAAATATTTTCAACTTAGCATATATTCACACTAAAAATTAATAATAAATAAAGCAATCAAATAAAACTAATATAAATTAAGTTGGATTAGAAGTGGGGCCCAAAATTTTGTCAATTCGTCAAGTTAGAGAAAGGTAAGAACACCGACCAAGAAAAAAGTTACTATTCACATGCAGTTGCAGAGTAACAGTATAAGTTGACAACTTGCAAAGTTGATAATCTTGCCTGATTCCATAAAAGAGCTGCTCAGAATAACTAGTAAGTCTAACTTAATTAAAGATAAATTTTTTTTATTAATCTAAATCAAAGTGGCTTTATATTATTATTATTATTATTATATGTTCATTTATTAATTAAATAATTTATTCTTAAAAACAATCATCAAAATTTCAAGATAAATATGCAGTACTTATTTTTATTTTATAATAATCAAGGTAATAATATATTTTTTAAAATTAATTTTTTAATAATTTTGATTATATCTTTTGAAATTTAAAAATATCATATGATTTTATCTTAATAGATTTTATGCTAATTTTTTATTATTTTAAAAAATAAAAAGTAATCTCTTAATAATTTATAAATGATTACTTAGCATCTTTCTTAACATCAATTTGATATTTTTTTGGCATTGTTCTCCACTTTTAAGTGGACTTTCTTTTCTTTCTACATTACAAAGTGAAAGTTATAGAAGCATTTTTTTTTTCTAGATGATTATGATAAATTCTTTGGGTTTAATTTTGTCTTTTTTTTTATATATTATAATGTGTAAAATTATAAAAATACGTGTATTCTTATATTTTTATTGGTGTTATCTGTAAACTTTTATTTTTATTTTTGACACTTTACTTAATCAAATAATATATATTTTTTTTCATATATTATAAGATGCAACATTACATAAACATTTATTCTTATATTTTGTAAGTTTATCTTTACCTTTGACTCTTCACTCAATTACTAATTATTTTTTCTCTTAATTCAATTTTCTTGCAATATACAAAGAGACTTTCATTATTAGTCTGCTTGATTATAATGATTTAAACTTGCCTTTTATGTCAAACCATTGTTGCAAATAACATGAACTAATTAAAATATTTAAAAATCATATTATATATAATATAAACCGTCCATCAATTATTATTTTGTATAAAGATTTGTAATTTTCTATGCTCATTACTCTTCAAAGCCATAACACTTTTTTTATTTATATAAAATTAGGATAGATTGATATTCAATTTGACTTTTTTTTTTAATTTTCAAATCAAATATTATTCATTAAGCATTTGATATTTTTTTAAACATCCAATGTAAATTTAAAAAAATAAAAAATTGTCATTGACTTTGGTTGCGTTTGATTGTTCACATTTTCAAGTTTTAGATTTTGTTTAGTCTAACTCAAACCATCTATTCAATTTATATTTATTATTAAAATGCTAAAAATTTTATAATATTAAATATATTTTAAATTTGAAATTAAATAAAATTTTTTAATATAATAATATTTTGAATTCATATTTAAAAAAATGATGTATAAAATCATAAATTCAATCTATCATCCAACCAACGAACAAGTCCACTTTCTAATAAAATTGAAAAATAAAGTTGAAGAATTTAATAAGTCATATAGATATTGAAAATCAAGATATTACTGAAAATCTTAAAAAAATATATATACATGCAAGTAAATTATCATTTACCTTATTTTAATATTTAAAATCATTATTTCTTTTACATAAATAAAACAAATTTTAAAATTACATAAATTTATAGGTGTATAAAAATGAAAAAATATGGAGAGGATAGAAATTGATTAAAGTTAATTTGAATGATAAAACTTTTAGTTTTTATTTTAATATTTTGTTAGTATACTTTATAATATTATTTACAATATCTTTATAAATTTTTTTCTCTAATATTATTTATCATATTTTAAAATTTTATTAATTTTTAATTAAAATTTTATTTTTATTTTAATTATATTATTTATAATTTATATATATATTTTAAATAATTAAATAATATTAACATATATTTATTTAAATTAAAAAAAATAAAATAATTCATACATTGCATAGTTTAGCCTAAAAATTAAGATCCCAATTATGGAAACCGACAACCACGAAACTCTCGGCATTGTTGTCAATTCACCGACTGCATATGCTTTTCTGTTTTGATGTCACGGCATCGGTTGGCTTGGAAAGTGGGACTCTCCTCTTTTGACGACGTGAGAGCGGCTACAGGCCTTTTAGCCACGAGACAAATGACTCCGACGGTAGTAGGTTTAATCAAAACACTAAAAAACGACCCATACCTTTCACATGCAAATTGTGTACTTCTCATGGGACTGAAATTGGGTTTGGGACATTGGTTCCCAGATTCAAAAAGCAAAATATGGTCTTGACCCTTTTCTGATGGGACCACGGTCACATTGTTCGTTGTAACACTGTCCTTTTATATATATATATATATAAAATAGATCACAATTTAAAAATAAAAAATTACAATTATTAAAATTATTAAATATTATTTTTTAAAAATAATTATATAAATAAACTTAACTAAATTTTTAGATGCATAGTCACTTTAAAAATAATATAGAATATGAAGTTAGGTATGAACAGCCGCACGGCCTCAATTTGAGAAGTTTGATCCATCAAGTGGAATACATCAATGTTTTATACTTTTTCTTTTTTTCCCTCACAAATCAAATAAATGTTTGTTAGACTTTGAGGAATTGCAATTTTAGGACGGAGAAAAAGCTATCTGAGCGTGACTAAATAGGGGTCAGTCAAGATCCACAATTCGAATGTGAAAACAGTGGTGTTATCTGGATGGCATGTTTATTTGAATCTTACCATAAAATCTCTCGAGATTTCTAAGTATCTTGAGTTCAATTTCGGCTGTCACTGACCTCAAAATCACACTTCATTTTCCAGGACTACAACACGATGTAAACGTTTAATGGGTTGTTCAGACTTTTGGTTGGATACAAGAATCAAAATTTAACACATGGAAACGCAGATCCAACATAAATTTGTGATGTATAGAATTGCATTCCTGTTAGGCCATGTTTGTTTTGTGCAAAATTGCATTGATTTTCAAGGTCATCTTAATATATTTTATGGTTGTGATCCTACCTGATATTTGGTTCTTACCTACAAAATGACTGATTAATGTAGGTAAAGCTAAATTAATTCATATAATTATTTTAAAAAGATAATATTCAACATGTTTATAATATATACATATATTGTATAAGTCTAATTAAAAGAGCACTACTATATAATTTTTTTCTTCGGATTTCACTTTTTATAATATGTTATCCCAAATATATTCATCTAAATGGGAAAATTTTGTTGTTCTTAGGGATATCAAGGAAAAAGTGGATATTTTTCAAAATAATTTTGGGAAAAGTTAGTAATTTCTACTGTCGCTTTAAGGGTTACTTTTCTTAAAAATTTACCTATTAGAAACTGATCCAGATTTCATTCATTACAAGTTTCAAGCTAATCAGCATCAGAAAGTCTTCTTTGAGGACTCATGAATTTGAGAGATGGGGCGATCTTATCAAGATATAACATCCTATCATAAAGGGAAGGTCATAACTATGAACAATCTATGGCATATGCTTGATTCAATTTAAATATTAACCACAGAACCAAAAAAAAGAAAAAGAAAAAAATGGAGTGTTCCCTATTGACACTGAAGAATCCTGCCAATGCATCTACTCTGTCGACTACTATCTTCCCTTTTGATTGATCAACAAGCTCTATAGACCTGGTCATGTCAACATCCCTAAGCCTACATCAACCTGTTTAAATAGTTTTGATCTAACCTTCCAATGATTCAAATACATTAAAAACAAAGCCAACCTGCTGTCCGTCAATTTCAGTTAACGAGAATGACACTTTAAAACTAAAAGACTTTCATTCTTTTCCCTGAAAATGAGAATATGTGCAGTAATTAATTTAATCCTGTACCAGTTGTCCCTAGATATTGATAGGCAAAATTTGGGATAGACGGTGTTGTTTGATGCATAGCGTTGATCAAACTTATACAAATATATTACAACCAGGTTAGTGGTATGCTTTCAGAAACTGGTATGCCAGATGGCTTCATCACCCTCCCCACAACGCTGGTGCACCTCCTCCATTCTCTCAACAGACTTGCAAATGCCACTGCAGCTCCAATCAAATGATGCTGCACAGGGATTCCCAGCTTGTGCTTTCCACTCACAATCTATCAAAGAAATTTAAACATTGTCACGAAAAGGTTATTTCCATTGCACTCCCAATGGCAGGAAAGCATTGAGAATACAGAGTAAACGTAATACACAAGTTTAGGAAATTAATATTTGAGTATTTAACCATGAAGATACTCAATTGGAAAGAATGAAGGAACTGTACAATTTTGCCATTATTTTTTTTCTTCTTTAAGTTTTTTTAATTGATAATTATCTTGTTTAAGAGCAAATTACGGCTTGGACTAAGAAAGAGCCCAAAGTTTTCAGAATCATGGATAACAATTTAGACTGCTGCCAGAATTCATCAGGATGATTTCAAGGGTCAGACACATAAACCTTATAGGTAGTAGAAAGCAGAGATCACCTATGTCAAATTGCTAGATAATTTCAGCAATGAATAAAGAATGAAGATTACAAAGCTAACAAATTGATTTTGATTCAGCAGAGCAATTGTAAAAAGCTAAAACTATCAAATGATGAAAATAGCCAAGCTGACCATAAGAAAGCATAATGGCAACCATCTTACCGGGGGGAGTACCACAGCAGAGACTTCTATCATCTATATGCTCAACATCAAGACCAATAAACCAGGAACCCAAAGAGACGTCTTCATTTGCATATCTATGAAGTATGTGCCTAGATAGAAAGCAAGCATATAATCAACAGAATCATGAAGAAAAGCATGAATAGAAAGATATTACTGAAAAAGGCTTTACCGATTGACTGAGATATAGGTGGCCAAGTCTTTGGAGATTGCATATATTTGTCCAGTTGCATGCCTAAAATACTTGTTTCCCTCCTCACCAAATTTCCAATATTCTGGCTCATGATACTTATCCGCTCTGTACATAAGAGCAAGACGTAATTATGGTGGTAAAGAAAGCAAAAATGACAATTGGGGAAATTCACAAAATTTAATCCTTACTTCCGCGCCAGAACAGGTCCAGACTTCATGCAGCCAATATAAACACGGGGTTTTGATCTGTGACGGGCCAGTGTAGAACCCACCATACCTGTAGAATATTCCATATCTATTTAGCAAACCTGATACAAATCTGTTCATGAAGAAGAAATGCAGGTCTTGGAAACTTAATGTGGCAGCACTAACCTAGATTTACATGTACATCATCGTCGACTTTAATATAGAAGTCAGCATCCCACTTAGCAACAGCTGTGGAAAAGTACATTTGCGTTTTTGATGACAATTCATGGTAACCTTCTATGTGATTCTGCCAAACAAAAAAGGCAATACTATGTAAGCTTCAAAGAAACTATATATAACTTTTGTTTTGTCTATGATTTAGCATCCAACAAATTTCTTGAGAATGCAGTCCTAGTTTCAAAACCACTAAGTCCAGCTTCAATGTTTAAACACTAATTTAACTATCCAACTTATGAAGTAGTCATCAAGATAACTTTTGGAACTACTTCAAATATTTTATAAGCAAAGAACAAGAAAAGGCATGTAGAAGTTTTTAAACAGGGTCTAGGCAAAGAGGTGAGAGTAAGTGGTGTACAGGTGACTACTTAAGTCAACTAAGTCTTAAACCCAAACTACTTGGGAACTAGATTAATTTTTCTCCCACATTCCACCTGGTTTAAAACCATACTCTAGTTATATAAATACATTTTTTTTTTTTGGGGGGGGGGGGGGGGGGGAAAGAAAAGCTTTACAAATATTGGCTCTTCTCTTTGTAAGACAATGTAACCATTATCGTGCTTTATAAACCAAAATTAAAGAAGATAATTCATCAGCTTGGTCCAAGGCATGTAAGAGGAGCATACCAAGCGCAAAAAATCCTTGTGTTGCTCTTCTTCAGCACCAAGAGCACGATCCAGAACACCACCTGGGGTTGCGCTGAGAGCCACAGATGCAACACGTTTCATCAAAACTATCATTCTCAGAAAGCTAACTAGCATGTGAAAGTTAAATGCTTCAAACTTTCAATTGAATTTACCTGTGTCCTATGACAAATCGCATTATAATTCCCTTCTCTTTCTCCAACCTCTTTAATGCCTCCCCTAAGAACAATAACCTCAAAGTAAAACAATTGACAAGATCCTAGTGAATGCCTGATGGAATGCCAAAAGAGTATTGAATCAAACCTTGAGGCATCCAAGTTTCCCTGATTGAGTCCCTTCGTTTTCTACTGCTGAATGCAGTAATAATTCCCATAACAAAGAAAATTTTCTGGCGATCCTTCAAGTTCTCAGTTACTGATTTTGTAGTCATTGGAGACCTTTCCTCACTATCTGCTCTGGCAGCTCTAGCTGCAGCTAGCTGCACTTCTAGTGAGGAGATTGTTTTGTCTAATGTCCTGAAAGTATGTATCATGCGGACCATCTTAAGTTCTAAATAAATTTTAGATACCCAAGACTTACTTTGGGCATTCACTTCAAAAATTCAAAAATAAGACCAAAACAAACATAATAATTGAGTTATAAAGTGGAAAAGTAATCCGGAACTTATCAAAAAATCCTTCAGCAAGACATACAAACTTACATAATTACATCATGAGTTTGTGAAACTTGAGAAAGAATATCACCTGCCTGAACAGAAGCATCCAGTTATAATATACACAATATCATCAAGATTCTTTGCATGCAATATAGCTTATGACAACTTTGTAATCTAAACTTGCCTTATCACAATTAACCATGGGATGAACTTCTTTTCCCAGATGTTTCTGTACAGAAGAAGCCTCCTCATCCATTTTAACTGGATCAGGAATAGCCGAAAATCTGTAAAAAGTGCCATACACCAATAGTCAATGCACACTTGCATACAAAACTATCATTAATAAACAAATGCAACAACATAAAGAATTAAGAAATGCAGACCAGTAATGAAAGGGAACCTAGGAGTGAATCCCACCTTCACTAAGGATTTAACTGAAGAGGCAGATTCCTTCCAACAAACAACAGCATTGATATCATGCAATTCATGAGATCAAAGTTTGATGCCTTAAGAAAAGAAATGATACAAAAGGACAACCTTAGTAAAGTGACAACTCATAAATGTGTTAACATTACATGACAACTTAATGCTCAAGTTTATAGGTGATATCCCGACTTATCAGAGTTCAAGAACCACTTTCTCCTATCCTCCAAAAGCAGTTTTCCATTTTCAGGGATATCTCTTTCACTAGCTGCCACCAGCTTGCTAAAATCTACATTCATTATCTTTTTGAAATCTACCAAATATTAGTATCACAATTAGTTTCATTCCCATCAGCAAGCTCCTAGCTTTTGATCTAGTGTACAAAATCAACTATTTAGACAATCCAGCGCTCAAATACAAAGTGCAAACTCCTCATGCAGCAGAAGTTATAAACCCAAATTCAAAGAGATTAAACGCACTATGTCCCATAGTCATGCATTACTAAATCCGCTCCAGCCTTCATGAGCTACTACAGAACAATGGAACCCGTATAGGAAGCATAACAAAGACCTCAAAATCTAGCTAGAGTCAAGATCAACGAGAGGTCTTACAGATTCATTCATCTTCCTATCAACCATAATACCAAATACAACCGGTGGAAAAGTTAAAAACCATGGAATATCATTCGCATGATCTACCTAATACCAAAAACATAATATTGAACACTTATTTCAACAATTGGAATCACAAATCCAGCAACCTAAGAGGTAAATCTATCCATAGGGAGACATTTTGCTCGATAATTCTGCACCAATTAGCAAGATCCTCCAACATGTACAATATTTAAAAAAGAACAAGATGTACAGGAACAAAATGGCAGAGAAATGAAACAATAGTTAAAGCTTAAAAATTTTAAAACCCAGTAAAAAGGAACAGAAAATATTAAGGTTTGTCACTTCAAAACAAGATCTTAATTATTTGACATTCCACTTAGAGAGAGAGAAACCTGTTGACAACAAGTACACCCAAGAAGAAGCTGGCAATGCAAAAGAGAGAAACCCATCTGGTAGAAACTCCATTGCCAGGCTTTTGAGGTCTACTCAAACCCATTGCAAAACTCCTAAAGACCTAAATCGTCAAGGCAACTTCCTCTTTTTTTTTTTTTTTCTTCTCAAGACTTTGTGTCACGGGGAAGAACCCGTCAAGATAGAAGAGAAAGGCTTAACAGAAACAGGCACTATTAACAACAACCATCAAGAACATAATAATTCCTGGAAACTTAAACAGCAACAATTCAATTGGATTTGTGTTGAAATTTGGCAACAATGGACAAGGTCAGTTCACATCTACTCGGCCTGGTAGTATCTACTCGAGGTTTTTTTTTTTTGCAAAACTTCTATTCTAGTATTTAAATTCTATTTTTATAGATTCAATAACAACTTTTCAACAGGAAAAAAAAAAAAAAAGACCACTGAAATGTTGGGTTTTATCTTAACAAGTAATCCATAAAAAAAAAACTTTCAACTACTCCTTGCTTAAAGTATTCTTGTTAACTTGTTGGTATTAGTCCAAATCTAGAATACCCAGCTTCTAAATGCTTATCTACTAAGCATATAAGAATATTTTTACTCAAACTTAAGCCATAAAAAAAATTAAAATTGACGATAAAGCCTTGATTTGCACTGAAATTTTAAAAGTCTAAGTTTAAATTTTATTGTGTATGAATTTAATTGTTTAATTAAATTATAATTTATTAATTGATTATATAAATATAATATTTAATTATAAGTGACTCAAATTGTGTGATTCGAGTGATAAAAAATTTATTTGTTTAAATAAAATTTTGATTTTTAGTATCATGAATGAAAAAAAAAAATTAAAAAACTTTCTCTCTTAAGAATTCTTCTTCGACTTAATTTTGGATCAGTCAAAGTTCAAAATTTTTATCGAATATTGAAAGATCCCAAACAAAAAAATATTATAAGTGTAATTTAAAAAATAAATAAATAAAATTTACAAACGTTAAGAATTTATCTCCTAAAAATAATCTAAATTGAACCACAAATTCAAATTGTTAGGATGTTAGTAATTCAAGTTAAATCATATATGCTAGAGCCGGAGCAATAGGGGAAAAAAAAAGAGTAATTTGATATTAGAACATGTATGTCATATGCATATGTTTACATGTTGAAGTGGTCCACATAAATTATACTATGTGGCTTTGGAAGAATAAATTGATAATAAAAAATGTCTATAACTAGGGGCAATGATGCACCATCATTAGTTTAAGACACATGTATGTCTTAATTATTAATGATTTTATAGATGCATGAATCTCTTAAGTCTTTTAAATAAAAATATTTATTAGATTTTATAAAAAAAGTTAAAATAATAATAAAAAATACTATCACCACTGCAACATTGAAATTATATAAAAATTACTAAAATTTTGTTGAAGTTTACCAAAATTATATCATAAATTATCAAAATAATATAAAAATTTATCAAAATTGTATCATAAATTATCAAAATTTTATCAATAATTATCCAATTATTTCCAAGATTATGAACATCAAAATTTTGAAGATAATCCAAACGTAAAAGTACAAAAAAGAAAAAGAAATTAGCCCAAAAGCCTAGTTTGGTCTGAGTGAAAATCCAGCTCTAACTCAAACTCAAACTGAAGCCCAATTGGAGATAGGTTGAAGTGTTTGAAGATAGAATTCTGGGTTTTATCCAAAAAATTTCTTTGATCTTCTTCTTTCTGTTCTCTCTATCCTCCCCCTCTCGATGGCATCCTCTTTATCCACTTTCCATCATCGCAGCTCTTCCATTTGTCTAAGAAACATAGATAATGCCAAGCTTTCCTCTTCTCTTTGTCCTTCACCCTTCAACTTGTCGTCAAACCCCAGCATTTCTCTCCAATTCCTCAACAGAAAACAAAACCCCCTCCTCTCTTCAACTCCAAGATTCTTATCGGTCATTGCCATGGCTCCTCCTAAACCCGGTGGAAAAGCCAAGAAAGGTTTATTCGAATTCGTATACGTCTTTCATTATATTGGATACCCAATTCTGTATTTCCTGACATTTCTTGCTATTTTTCTATGTGTTTTGCAGTGGTTGGAGTGGTAAAGTTGGCTCTGGAGGCAGGTAAGGCGACACCGGCGCCGCCAGTTGGACCAGCACTTGGAGCAAAGGGTGTGAATATTATGGCCTTTTGTAAGGATTACAATGCTAGAACTGCTGATAAAGCTGGTTACGTTATCCCTGTCGAAATTACTGTCTTCGATGTGGGTTTCTTTCTTCACTTTCAATTTTGAGCTTCTGCTAAACATATGCCTGATTTCTTTTGTTTATTCCTTTCCAGGATAGAAGCTTCACCTTCATTCTAAAGACGCCTCCTGCTTCTGTTCTGTTACTTAAGGCAGCAGGTATGCTTCTTTGTTACCACTTACTCATTAGTAATTAAATTTATTACTTAACATCTTCTTTATACATGAGGTCATTGGATTTTTTATATGAGGGATGATTCCATGTCTTCTAGTTCAGCATTGGCTTTTTTGATATGTCATGCTTGAATTTAAATTCTTGTTCTCGATAAAATAGTTAAATTGAAGTATTGTGGCAAGTTTGTTCTTTAATCGGTTGGAATGGAACGATATTTTGAATGGTCCGGAAGCTAAAATATTTCTATATTTATTTGTGTAGCAAGTTGTTAACAATGACTCTACACTGTGATTTGTACTATTGCATTTTGGGAAAGTTAAATACCCTTTGTTGCAAGTATGTGATCATATTCTTGTTAGTACATCCACAGATTAAAATGCATTTGGCAAAAAAATGGTGGTTGTTTACGATATGCAAATTGAAACCTTTGTCTTCTGACAAAATGGTTAACTGCAACCAAACTTTGTGTTGTGCATGGTTGTTGGACATTCAATTCACTGCACTAAGTTGAATAACATTAGTAGATTTGTAGAGAATTTAGGTTCATGGATTGACTTCAAAAAAAGAAAAAAAGTTCATGGAATGTCAAAGAAACAGAAATTGAATAAATTTTAGATAACAATAGAGATTTTGTACGTTCAAATGTGTTGAAAAGTTCAAATGTGTAGATGTCAGTTGTCAATATGATAACATTTATAATTCAGTCCTCATGTATGTGCAGCTAGATTTGTTTGCATCTTGGAGTCAAAAATATATTGTGCCATTTGCTGGACTATTTTTTGCTGTTTGTGTAAAGATTTTTCACATTGTTGCCGATTCTCAGAGATAATGCCTTGTGTAGATATCACCAGTATTGTCCCTCTAAGTAAACCTTGTTCCTTTTTGTCCTTGCATATTGATATACACTGGCAGTCTAACACACTTATTGGCTTTGTGTTGATTGTTCTAAGAATCTAAGTAATAAATGCAATCTTGGATCGTGTCCAAATAAAAGTAAAATCAGAAACTGTAGGTATTTTGTTTTGATTCCGAATCAGAGCATAATCTTCTATTGAAGTAAATTCTGCTCCATTAGAGGGAAACTAAACTTGGTTTGATATTAATAAGAATTGATTGTATGCACATAGACCTTGTCAAAAGTGTTGATTCTTGTCAATGGATATATCTTCATTCTATGGTCCGTATGGCCATTAAATTTATGATTAGTTTACAAGTTGTAAGTCATACAAAATGGTACATTTCGGTTGATCATCTTAGGTAGGTAGCATTTGATCAAGATGAAGGAAAGTTTTTAACAATTTGTCTTCAAATGGTTACTGTATTAGTACATAACTGATCACATGCCTAAGCAACTTGTTCATAGAAATGAGTATGTTAGAATCAAATTGTGATTGATGGAAGACATAGGAAAATAATTTCTATTGACGATTTGTTACCATTTGGAAAAAGGATAATCATTCTTGGAGTAATTATGCAGTTTGATTATACTGTGTGGTGTTCTAGGAGTGGAGAAAGGTTCTAAAGACCCGAAACAAGAGAAAGTGGGGAAGGTCACCATTGACCAAGTACGTGCAATTGCAACTGAAAAACTACCTGACCTGAATTGTACGACCATTGAATCAGCTATGAGAATTATAGCCGGGACAGCTGCTAACATGGGAATCGATATCGACCCACCTGTTCTTGAACCAAAAAAGAAGGAACTGTTATAGTTGCGTACTTTGTCTTCTGTACCAATATTTACTAGGACTATGTTGTTCCATCTCACTCTACCTATTTTTAGAAATTCATTTTGAAAACCCTGTTGTTTAATATTTATACATTCAATTTTGATCCGCTTGGGTACACAAGTTTAGTGACTTATTGATAAATCTCTTCCATAACTTGCGGGCCAAATTTCCGCGGGCTCGAGTCTATTTTATTAAACAAACGAGATAAGATCCGTTTGATGTTATAAGCTCAGCCATGCCATCAGCCCAACAGTGACCTCGATGTCAGTTGCCACCGGTTATGTAACTTGTATCGGGCACCACCCACCACGTTTCCACTATTTCTGCGGCACTTTCGCTCAATAACTGAAATAAATATCTTACACAGTGGAATTAGAACTTTTAACGCACCCCATCAATGGGGATATTGACCAATGTCGTGCAATCGAAAGTTGACGGACCATTAAAGACACGTGGGAATGTGACAAAAAAAAAGGTGGACCATTTTTCCTGAAAAAGCATTTTCTGAATTGAAGACCGCATATCGTGGCTGTTGTCACTTTGCCAGCCACCATTAGCCAAAAAGCTTCAAATTTGTCCTATTTTGATTTGCTTCAAATTTTCTGCACTATATATCTTATCTTGTTAACGTTTGGTATTTCTTTATTCTGACCCGACATTGATACTTTTCCTCCCCTTATTATTTATTAACAGGACCACTTTCTTTGATAACAGGAACCCAAATTTGTACCTTTTTTTTTTCAATCAAATTTGAAGAAATTTGAATGTCCAAAGCCAAAGTTTGGTCTTGGATTGAATTTTAGAAAAATTAAAAAATTAAAATCTCTCATTTGAATAACTTGTAATTTGAAAATTTTCATTATAATAACCTGATTAAATTAGTTGACTTAAATTACTATACTCAAAATAATAAAAGATCAAAGATGTAAAAAAAATTATATAAAAAATGTTATCATATTTATTATCTATTCATTTAATTAATAAAATTTAAAATATTATTCATGATTATTTATTAAATTTAATAAATAAATATAAATAAACAAAAATTAAAATTATTCATAAACTATTCATTGAATGTTTTATTTATTTACATCTCAAATGTAAATAAATTAAATAAAATTTTTTTACAATATTCATAATTTATTTATTTAATTAAAAAACTTTAAAATATTACTTAAAATTAAACTTCACTTACTGCCTAAAAAATACACAGTAGTACATTCTCATATATAAAATAAATAGTAAAAAACAACAAGGAAATTACAACTTGCATTACCAAAAAAATCCCAAGAAGAAACGGGGGAAAAGGCGGCACAGGAAGGGGTAAAAAGATAAAAATTGCGAAGTTCATGATTGGCAACAAATGACTACAAAACAGAAGGTTTCAATACCACAGACTCAATCTTAATCATGGATTCAGTAGCAATTTCTTTTATCGTAAAACCCTAAAGAGAGAGACAGACTGACAGATAAACAGGCAGGGTATATATAAATATATTTATTGCATTGCATTCTTCTTTTTGTTTGTATTGCAGTTAACCTCTTAATCTGGTGGTGCCATTGCTACTGCTACTCTCAAAACCTGAACGATTCATCCAATTAAAGGTGCTTCTTTTTTCCTTTTCTTTTTCTTTTTCTAAGTTTGTTCTTATTCCTTCGAATATGTCTGGAATCTGTTTCTTTTTTTTTCCCCACTTTTCTCATATCCTGAAAAAAAAATGCCATTGCATTAAAGGTAGGTGTTTTTTTTTTTTTTTTTTGGAAATCTCCGGACAAACAGGTTTCTTTTAGAACACATTATAAAAACTGCATAATAAATTTTTTTTTATGGTTTCTCTTGAAACCTTCTCATCATTATCGTATCTCTGTAATAAGAATAAAAAAAGGACAGAAATATGACGTTTTTACCTTTAGTTTAGGGATTGATTAGAATTCGGAGAAGGTTGAAGTAATCGAAATCGAGAACGAAGAACGACTACAGAAGGTAATTCTATCTTCTTTTATTTAATAACATAACTGATTCATTTGAAAAATTTTAATTTTAATTTTAATGCAGTAATGAGTAAATTTTTGTTGAAATTGATTCTGAATAATCACCTTTGGTGTTTCTCTTTATCTTTGTTTGATTCTAGAATTTTAAAACTGCTCCAATCACATATATACAGGAATATGTATGTATACATAATACATACAAGTATATTTCTGGGGGTATGTATGCATGCATATATGTAAAAATATGTGTAGTAAATTGCCTTGTGAAGTTTTTGCTAATCCAAATAAGATATGGGCTGTAATTGTAATATATGTTGGTTAGTTTTTTTTTGAATCTGTATTATTCTAGAATCTTGATACTTAAATGAAGCCTTTCTTTCCTCTTATTTTGTCCCCTGTTTTAATAGAAGGCTTTTAAGGCTAAATATGAATGGCTGTCTTTTTAGTGAAAGGAGACATAACTATGCAATGCCAATACGTATCGAATCAGATAGAGTTTTAAAGTAATCTCCATGATAAAAAATTATGTGCTTTGCAACATCCAACTCTCCTATCAATGGTGCCCTTTTTGCCTTTCACCTGCATCTCTACAATCTTCCCTGCCAATTTTAGTCTTTACAACGACTTGTTGCTGAAGGTGGTGATTTGCTGTTTCTTGATTCCTCTTAACTCATTAATCACTAGCTAGGATTGCAATTTTTGCCACTTTTTAATGAAATTGTTTTGAGATGTGTGTTGGAAATTCTTACACTGAAGCAATACATATCAGAAGCATAATAAAGGATTTAGGTAATCTAAGGTTGATGTAGGTGCATTTCGGTTAAAGATAACGTGGTGAAACTTTAACTAGGCATCTATAAGTTGCGGTCAAGGAGCCATTTGATCATTTGATGGGAAAGAGTGGGAGGGAGAGGAGAAGGCAAAGAGAAAATGGCGGGTTGACCGGAGATAGGAAATGTTTATTTTGGCCAGAGACAGAACAGAGATAGGGAATGATTTTGTAAAAGTGAAAATTATTTAGTATTTTGTTGACAAAAAACTTTTAATCTGTCTTAATTACTTTGCTGATTCACTCCTCATGTTGTTTTTTCTTGTCCTACTGTTTGTGAATTTAAAATATATATATATATATATATATGTTAATACTTGTGGTTGTTTATATTGTTTTCAGATGGAAGTGCAAAATTCTGAACAAGGGCATATGATTGAAATACGTGGGGATGTGCCAGCTGCAGAGACAAGCCTGGGTGGAAGTACGATTTGTGGAGGCGCAGCATGTGGGTTTTCTGATGCTCAAACCAGTTATAAAGATGCAAAGGAACGTGCAACCTCTATGCAGAAACTTTTGATGGCAGTAGTGCTTTGCATTGTCTTTATGAGTGTAGAAGTAGCTGGAGGAATTAAAGCCAACAGTCTTGCAATCTTAACTGATGCAGCTCATCTCTTGTCAGATGTTGCAGCATTTGCAATCTCCTTGTTCTCCCTTTGGGCATCAGGGTGGGAGGCAAATCCACGTCAATCTTATGGATTCTTCAGGATTGAAATTCTTGGTGCCCTTGTTTCCATCCAGCTGATATGGCTTCTAGCTGGCATACTTGTTTATGAAGCCATAGCTAGACTTATCCATGATACAGGTGAAGTTCAAGGCTTTCTCATGTTCGTTGTTTCTGCATTTGGTCTAGTGGTTAATGTTGCTATGGCTCTCTTGTTGGGTCATGATCACGGGCATCACCATGGCCATGACCATAATCATGGGCATGCTGTGAATGATCACGACCTCCATGACCACAGTCATAGTCATGACAGTGAACCGCATAATCATGGATTAAGTATAACTTCTCACCATCAACATCAGCAGCAGTACCACCACCACCACCATCATCATGGTTCGAATTACAAAGTAGATGATGAGCATCATCATACTCATGAAGCTGACCACCTAGAGCCTTTGCTCAAGACCTACTCAGATCGTGAAACAAAACCAGAAAGTGGAGCACGTCGGAAGGAGAGAAACATAAATGTACAAGGGGCTTATCTTCATGTCCTAGGGGATTCCATTCAGAGTATTGGAGTAATGATTGGTGGAGCAATTATTTGGTACAAGCCTGGGTGGAAAATAATTGATCTGATATGCACCCTTGTGTTTTCCGTTATTGTGCTGGGAACAACCATCAGGATGCTGCGAAACATTTTGGAAGTTCTTATGGAGAGTACACCCCGAGAAATTGATGCCACAAGGCTTGAGAAGGGTTTATGTGAGATGGATGACGTTGTTGCCATACATGAACTGCACATTTGGGCCATAACTGTTGGTAAGGTGTTATTAGCTTGCCATGTCTTAATTAAGCGTGAAGCTGATGCTGACACGATATTGAACAAGGTTATAGATTATATCAGGAGAGAATACAATATTAGTCATGTGACCATTCAGATAGAGCGCCAGTAAATCCATGGCGCAGTAAGTTCTGTAATTTTACTGTTGGCAGGTTTATTTTTAAGATTTCTACCCAACCTTGCTGTGCTGCTTGTGTTTGCAAATTTCCCACCACCTAGGAATTGGTTATATTTTCCCCTATGGCTTATTCTGCCAATATTTGTTTTTTTGTCTGCTTGAACCCTTTTGTTTTAGATATACTCTTTCACAGAAAAGAATAAATTCGAATCGAATAGGGCTGATGCTTGAGATTCAATAATATAGGATGTATGATGAGCGTTTTGTAGTGGATGTGTAAAGTCGAATTAATTCTAGCCATTCACGCCGGTTAGTTAGTAACAACTCACAATCAACATTATTTTTCCAATCAAATGTTACACGTTTTTGTAGAACTCCACTACCGACAAACTGTAGGCATAGCATGCCACTCGAATACGAGAAAAGCCTGCTCCTTTTGCCAAGCTCTCGAATTCTTTTTCTCTCCTTTCCTTTCCGCTTTCATTGACGTGCATCATGAACAAATCAAACTGATACGCGCTTTGAACTAAGAGGTTGGTATCAGGGCTTTCAGGGATTACCAAATCAACTATTATCACTTTGCCATTAACCGGTAATGCTTCATAGCAGTTCTTTAGTAACTCTACGCATCGCTTATCATCCAATCCATGGAGTATCCACTGCATTTTTTACCACCAAAGACCCGGTGTTAGTCAATAACCCCTAGGATTGCTAAAAGTGACATCAATCGAGAGAGCTTTAGTATTGTGAAGTACGGTGGAAGTGAAGGGCAAAGATACATCAAGCCTAACCTTCATGAAAATGGCGTCTCCTTTTGGTACACTCTTGAACATATCTCCTGCCACATGCTCAATTCCTACAACACAATTTAAATTTATGAATGCCAAACATATAGAACAATTTAGAAGTCGACAATTTTAGCAAATGACTCATTAGGAGCTATGAATTGTTAATTTTAATAGTAAGTATTACTCTGTTTTTCTTTTTAAATTCCTATAGCTCGACTCACAGCCAAGTAAATTAAAGTGTTAAGGAGCTCAACCCGGCGCCTCGTACTTCTTTAAGGGAACTAGATGTGGCATACACAAGGCATATATATAAATAACCAGGGAAATGATGAAGTATAAAGAAGCAATTAAATGTTTTCAACAGAGTTCCGCAAAGGGAAAGAAGCAGTTCAGACCAAGGCTAAATATTATTTGCTCTATGCTAATATCACTATTTGTAACTTGTATAATGATCGTATTCATACCAGGATAGGAGGGTGACTTCTCAATAATGTGTGGCAAATCAAAATTAATACCCTTAATGGCAGGGTACTTGGAAACGATCCTGTGGAGTATGGAACCATTTCCACCGCCTAAATCTACCAAGCAATTCAAGCCATCAAAACCCATGTAGCTTTTCAACATCTCTTCCACAAACAAATTGTTGTAATCAATCATAGAGTCCTTGAAGATTTCTCCAAACCTCGCATCCTTGCCCACATACTCAACGGCACTAATCCCATGTGCCCTGTTAAATAGAAGCCCCCCTTCCAGTACTGCATCTTTCAATTGGTACCTGTTTTGATTTCAACATGAAATTTTTGGAAAAATGAAATCACATGTTAAGTAGTGATGAAAATGAAGGCAATAGCATTCTCAAAGTGTTTTACCAGACATCTATAATGGCTTTGTCCTGATACAAGTCTAACAAAGGAGACAAAGATCCTCCACTTGGGCTCCTAATGAAGTATTTGGCGACAGGTGCCAAACCATAGAGTCTAACAACCCCGCGATCCTGGTCGTTAGTTGCAAGAGAGAAAGTGAGGATAGAGTGGCTAGCTAGAAGCCGGAGGATACGATCAAGGATCACAGGGGCATCTGGATTATTTTGAGTCGGAAGTTGGGATGCAATCTGGGAAGCAGAGAGCAGCGCAACAGGACCAGCCCTCTCTATGATATCAAATACACCAAGTTGAACAGCTGCTTTCAACACCATGGGCATCACCGATGCGCTAACCAGTTGCATGGCATATTGTTGGGCGTGTTTGTCTTCTTCATCAATAGAGGTTCTCGCTTGTTGGCTTTCCTTAAAATTCATTGTGTACCTTGAATTCAAACAGTAGAAGGATCGAAAAATGGCAGTTGAAGATCTGTTTTGGCCGAAGTTAACTCTCTTTTGCATCCAGTTTCAGCTTTATTATTTGCTTTCAGAGTAAGAGTCAACTTTGGTTGTTTTTGTTTTATCACAAATGTTGAAATTTTGGCTCGGACTCTCAGTGATATAAAATAACCTTCTTGTGTCCAATTTTGAATTTTAAATTGTCAATTCAAGAGCACGTTCAGGGTGGCTGCCTGACTTTTCTCTAACAAAGGTGCTTTTGTCATGGAGCTACATCTAAACAGATTTTAACCATGACCTGTCGCTAATTCATTGGATCTGGATATTGTATAATGTATACCAAATGCTGGAGTGTCAGCATCTAATTTAATTAAAGACGCTTCAGCAAATGTTATCTTGAAAGTTCAAAAACAACAAAGACAACCCGTTCGAATCTGAAATTTAATGTGAAATATGAAATATTGACATTAGATTAACTTATTGAAGTTTTGAACATGTCCAGGCAGCATTCTGTAAAAAGTCCCCCCTTCCAAAATTTCTCATAATACTCTCCATAGGTAAAACTTCTATAGACTGCAGGGTGCTCGTCGTCGATCAGCTCCATAGCCGGACCTATCAAAGCATCAGGTGATGGACAGTAGAAGGTAGGGATGGATATCCGTTCTTTATTGCAGTTCACAACAGCCCGATGGAGCACACTTTTGTAACGATCATTGCTAATTACCTGTTACAATGATTGGAACTTCGTTAGTACTTTATGCTCTTCCACGGCGGCAGTCGCTATCAGCATTATATTATGTAAGATTCCGTTTGCATTCCACCGAATTCTCACTTTCGTGCGGCGAGGGCCACTTTTTCGCTTCAATCGTTCCGGTCTAGCAGAGGGTTTTTTTTTTTTTTTTTTTTTTTCAGTTTTATCCTGGACGGTTGATTATTTGATTGTTCTCTAGAGAGCAATTGACTGTCTTCTTTTTTTTCTTTTTAATTTAAAAAATTATAACTCTGTTAAAACTATAAAATTATGAAAATAACATAGACCAAATTTGTTTTGAATAAACATAATCTATTATTGAAATAAAAGACGCTTATTCAACATAAATATCATCTATGTTATTATTTCAATTTTTTAAAATTTCAAATATTTTAATTAAAAATGAGGTTATTATTGTCTTCAATTTCTTAACCTAGGGATTAAGAAAATTGAAAGAGGATATGAGGGATTGGTTTCCAACCAAGTCACCCACTAATGTATTTTTATTGCATATAAATATATATTTATCCTTAATGATGTTTTTTTCACTATAATTTATTTCATTTTGACTTCCAATAAATATTTTAATAATTAATTTTAATCTTATCATTATAATAATCAATCTTTATCTTTTCCATTAGTAATCACTTAACTAATCCAATTTTGGCAAAGCCATGTAAAATTCACCTGCATTTGATCACCGAGGTTGACAACAAAGGTGTTGGGTATAGGATTGACGGCTATCCACTTGCCATTCCTTAAAACCTGTAGTCCTGGTACTTCATCCTGAAGAAGAATGGTTATTAAACTAGAATCGGTATGGCTAGGCAACCCATATGTAAGTTCTGGCTCTGGACATGGAGGATAGTAGTTTAAAGCCATGTGTTGCCCATGCTTGCTTAATGTCTTATCTATGTGGTCCCTCTTCAGGCCTAAGCTCTCTGATATGGCCTCAAGTAGTCTTAGCACTAAACCTCTAACACTAGTGCAATACTCAGCCACGTCTTCCCTGTCAAGAAGCAAATGTTGACAAATTCAAATATCATAGTTGAAACGCTGAAAATATTGGTTTATAAACTCTATAATAACTAGATAGGTCTGTCATGGTTATTTACCTGAAGGATGGGGGATTTGAAGGCCATTCGTGTACGTGATCTTCGAGAGGGTAGCAGTGGAGTCTCAGAAAATCTCTCCAGTTGGTAACCTTCTCCGTCTTGACATTGAAACTAGTTGACAATCGGTTAGCCTTGGAAGGATCGTCAGAGTAATTCTTCAACCTCTCAGTCTCCGGTAAATGAAAGAATTCTCTAGCTAAACTCAGCATGTTATTGAACATAGATTCTGAAATCCCATGGTTCTTCACCTGATAACAGTAAATTACTGAACCTATAAGACCGAGATTGGTAGCAAGCAATAATTACAGTCGATGCAAATAATGGAATTTGCTGGTACCTGAAAGAAACCATCAAGTTGGCATGCTAGGGCAATCTGTTTAAGAACATCGGAGCGGTTGGGACCATAGAGGTCCTTGAGGTCAATCACAGGAATGGAAACATCTGATACCTGAACATCAGAGAGATTTGGACGGTCGGAGATTGGTCTGATGTAATTTGTAGGCACCTGTTTAACTGTAGGTGCTATGTCTGTCAGTAATAGCTTGTTGGCGGCCATGGAAAATAGACTGTTCAGTGATCTTTGATTTTCTTCCTTTGAAGAGCTTTAGAGTTTCTGCACTTATTTATGCACACATTTAACAATGATAATTAAACGAGGATGATGACATTGCCTGTTGACATCACGAGACTTACGTCATCTTTTAATTTCGGGACCCTAGCGATTTCACTGTGAGCTATCAGTACTATATTAGTATTTTTTTTTCTCCAGAATCCGACAATGATCTTACAGCTTTAGCAGAGGCAGGTACAAATGTTAGTAAGCAAACCGTTTGATTTAGTAGCCCCCAACTCTTTGTGCTATAATTGCAGTTAGGTTGATGATATATTTGGAAAGAGGAATCTTCTCAAGGAAAAAAATCAAGCGTGGCGACAATTTTTGCACAATAATCCAGGAAAATCATGGAGGCCGACCTCGAGAAAAGGGATAAAAAGATTTATTCTTTGTAGAAATGGGTGGTGGATGCACGAATTCAATGCTAGCCACCAACAACTTGGCAAGAACATTGGCTGTCAACCTGCCAATTAATTCAGCAGAATGTGTTTGGATGGAATCTTCATTTGATATTCATATGTCTCATCAAATCAAAGCCATCTAGTTGCAAGGTAAGTATTGTGCCACGTTTTGATACGTCGCTGAAAATAATCTCAGGCTCTCAGCTATGTCGGTCGTGACGCTGCTACCTTCAAACAAAATCAGTACATTGTTAGTAACGAAGCCTAAAAAAAAAAAAAAGTGCTTGCAGACGTAGATTTGTTTTGATTTTGTTTATTCGGTAGGTTACCATCAGCATTGAATTTGAAAACCAATTTGTGTATTTGATTTGAACTAAGAATTATATATGTCCTCAGGTTTTGTCAAATGATTAAAAATGTATAAAAATTGACAATTTGAATCATATTTCATTTATTTTAAAATATTTATTATGTATTCATTTTTATGAAATTAAATTTTTTTTATTTTAATATATTTAATATTAAATTTAATATTTTATGATTTTTAATATTAAAAATTAAAAAAAATTATATAATTTTGAAATATCTCAAAAAAATAAAATATGAATAAAAAAATAAAACAGAGAGAATATCATATTTATTTGCTATTTCCTACCCAATGAAAAAAAATAAAAAGATATATAAAAAAATCAAATTTGTTTAAATTACATTACATGTCAGTTATTTTTTCTAATATAACATGCACCTGGTATCACATAAATGCCCATTCTATCAATTTTGGTGTATAAAATTCAAAGTATTCATCCCTGCCAATCGCCCCGACTAATTAAAGGGATAAAAAGCATGCAAAAAAGAGTTTGAAGCTGAAAATACTGTTTAATATCAAAATCAAGATTTTTTAAATTATTTTTTAAAATTTTTTCACATAATAAGATTTTTTTATTTTTGTCTACACGTAATAAAAATTTATTAAAATGAATTATCTCATATCTAATGCTTCATTTACAGCCAATTGATAGTAAATTTGTTAGATTCAAAATTTCGTTGAATGTTTAATATGGTATTAAAATCGAGATTTTTTTTTGTTAGAGTCAGAATTTTTTTTTATTGTTAATAAGTTGAATGCTTAATATGGTATTAGAACCATGATTTCTTTTTTGTTATATTATCTTTTTCAAATTTATCACGTATTAAATTTTTTTTTATTTTCACCTACATATGATGGGAGTCTATATTAGTGTGATGTTATCCTACATTTAATAAATATCTAATATCTTATAATCTTATATTTAGGTTGGATCCTTTCATTTGTAGTCAATTGATCAAATATCATATAATCTTATATTTTAATTGAATCTCTTCACTTATAGTCAATTGATTTTAACTTAAATACTTAAATAATAAGTGAAATGATCCAACCTAAATATAAGATAATAAAATATTTGATATTCATTAAATGTGAGATAATTTACTTTAACATTTAAAATGTTAAATTTTTTAATTTAATTAATTTACACAATTATTTTTTAAATAGGATATCCATTAAATTAAAATTTTAAATTTTAATATTTATAATTTTTTATTATCAATGTATAATTTTCTTTACATAAAAATAATTTTTTTTTAATAATTAAAGTATAAAAATTTATATTTACTGAAATTCAAATATTAATTTTAGAAAAAAAATATACTTTTAAAAAAAATGAGGAAATCATTTGAGAAAAACCTAGTGGACTTAAGCTTTAATTAATTGAATGAAAGCTTTGATTAATCCTTGAATCATTTATATTAATAATTGGTGGCCAGAATTATTTGAATGGATGTCTTACATCAATGTTTGCTTCCCTGATATTTTAAAAATAATAATCCATTCGAACTTTAATTATTATGTCAATAAATGTTCACGTACAAATATAAACACTGTCAGGTGCTTATCTGTACCCCATTGTCCATTTAAAAAAAAAAAATCAAGATATTTTGAAAATCTAGCTGCATTGAAGATTCTAGCAGTTCCTGTTCCTCCCTCTGAAACATTTTGAACCTCAATCTGGTCTTTGCCTGCCGCAATTTTGATCGATCAGTTCAAAGAGATTACTTGAGCTAATTGAACGTGATTTCTTTTGCAACTTGTTTATTTATTTTTTAAAATCTCAATTAAAAAATAAAAAAATTTAAATAATAAATTTTAAATTTTAAATTTATTAAATAACATATTTTAAAAATAAGTATATAAATGAATTGAATTAAATTTCAAATTTATAAGTTATTTTTCTGTGGTGAAGATAGTTATAAACTAAATCAAGATAATTGAAGTTTTGATGTTATATTTTCTTAAAAGGAAAAATAAGAAATTATATGTGAAATAAAGAAACGAAAGTGTAGCTAAAATATAAGAGTCCAACTTTATTCAGTTGTGACAGAAAAATCAAGAACAAAAAGATGCCATGAGCACAATATTTATTGCTATAGTCTATATAGGTAGAATAGTATTTGGTGAAGGAAAATCTTCATAGAAGGAATTCCTTGAAAATTCAACAACTTTGGAAGATATTTTTGCATTACTTTTGGTTGTCAAATCATAGAAGGGATTATTTTTTGCATGATATTTTAGCATTGCTTTTGTTGACATGATTTTAGAATCCAATCAGTCAGTTTTCCCAAAGTAACCACTTTTTCATGCCTTAACACAAACAAAAAAAAAATCTCAAAGAAAACTGAAAACTCTCTCCCTCTTGCTATCTATTTATTTATTTATTCCGCTCATGCATGGATCTTTGTCTACATTATTTACTAGAAAAATAATAGAAAAAATGGTGATAAGTTTTGTCTAGCCCTTGGGTTGTTGTTTGGGTTATTGCTTTGGGCCTTACTTGGAATGAGCTAATTTTGTTCGACCGGAGCTTGCTATTTGGGTTGATACCCAATTGTCCAATACGACGGCCGGCAACAACAACAACTCAACTCCATCATGGAGTAGCAAAAAATTGAGGTTTTCCCATTAAACTTATGGATTATGGAGTCACATTAATTGTTTTATTTTGATGTCGTCGGAACATTATACGAGGATGGGAGTTTTCGCATGTTTATGCTTGCAGTTGTTTTTCCTTGTGCATTTCTGTAATGTTAATGGTTCTGTTTCTTTTGATATGGCAAATTCATTCATATCTCCAGTTCTTGAAATCTGTTGGCAACTGAACAGGTGGTCGTGGGAATGAGAGCTTTAAGCAGAGCAGAAGTGATAAGAAAAGCCGTTAAGGCAATGCTAAAGCTTGGGATGAAGTCTGCTTTAGGGGTCAGCCGAGTCATTTTTAAGAGGATAAAAATGTAATATTGTTTCAATATATAATGTCACTATAGTTAACATTATGCAGTGACTGATATATTAATCACCGCATATTTTTCTGTATCTGTCAGATTTTTTTGTCCTGTCAAAACCAGATGTGTTCAAGAGCCCCAACTCTGAAAACCTTATGTTATCTTTTGGGAGGCGAAGATTGAGGTTAAGCTCTCAGCTGCAAACACTGGCTGCTCAAAAATCTAAGCTACCTGACATGGCATCTTTAATGCCCAAGTTGGAGATATCTGCAGCTGCTGCAGCTGCTCAAGCTGACGAGGAAGAGGAGGATGTTGATGAGAATGGAGTAAAGCCACGAGACATTGATTAATTGGTGATGCCTCAAGATATATGGTAGACGTTTAAAATTTTAAAATTGAGAAAAATGAAAAAAGTTGTCATTAATTTTTTTTTTTGAGTATGATTGATTATCTAAAAAAATTTATTTTTTTAGCAAAACGATAAAACAAGTTCATTAATCAGAACTTAAAAAAGATTTGGACGAAATTAAAAACGATTCGATAATTAGTAATAAAATGATTGACGAATCATCCCTTCAAATTCAATCTATGGAGTGGATAAATTATTCATTAATAGAAAAAAAGACAAAAGTTTTGACTGAGAGAATAAACACAATAAAAAATCAACTAAAAAAATTATAAAAGACAAGAAAAACGAATTTTTAACTCAAGAAATAAATATTAGTTCTAACAAAATAAGTTATTCGGATAAAATATTAGAATCACCAAAAAAATTTTGAAACATATTAAAAAGAAGAAATATTCGATTAATCCATAAATTTTATTTTTATATAAAGTTTTTTTATTAAAAAGATATACATAGATATTTTTCTATATATCATTAAATATATCATTAATATTCTAAGACCCAATGCATAACTTTTTCTTGAATAAAAAAAAAAACAAAGTGACTGAGAAATTCATTTATGATAATGAAGCAAATCAAGAAAGAAATAATAAACCAAATAAAAATACAACTCATTTTATTTCAACTATAAAAAACTCACTTTGTAATATTAGAAATAAAAATGCAAAAGCTTTTTGTGACTTATCCTCCCTCTCACAAACATATGTATTTTACAAATTATCACAAACCTAAGTAATTAGTTTTTACAAATTCTAACCTATCCTTCAATATCATGGAACATCTCTTTTTACCTAAATTAATTATAATTTTTTTTATATTTTTATTCTTTAATTCCCTAATATCTAGGTAGAATTAAATTGTTAAAATAAAATTTTTGAATTCTCTTTAATATCTAGGTAAGGTTTTCAAAATCATTTTTTTTAAAATTTTATTTTGTATAAATATTATTCTATTTTATTCCTAAAACTTCCTTTTTTAAAAGACATTTTAAAAGTGCAAAGTCATTTCAATTTATTTTTATTTAAGAATCTATACAAAAATTTTTTTATCAATCTCGGTCATTTACAAACAAGTTGCTTTTAATGGTGTACAAAATTAAATAAATACATGCAATAATATAATAAAAAATGAGGGAAAA